TTAAATAGCTAAAAATTAAACTAGCAAGAGACCCTAACACAAAATTCTATTTAATTTGTTTTAATCTTTAAATATTTACCAAATGTCCGGAAGTTTTCGCCATATCCTGCAATTTACGAAAAACTGTAGTTACGGTAAGAGATGCCGGCGTAAACAAGATACGTTGATTGCTTCGACTCATCTGAGCAACCAAACCCAAATCCCCTTTTTGGTTCAAATCCTCCTTCAGTTTATCAATCTGAAATGTGTGGTGTTCTCATAATCTGAATCAAGATAGTAGATTGAAGATACAATTTCCAAATAAGAGTTAAAATACCTTACGACCAGTCGCCTGGGCGATAGCTTTCATTAAAGCCCCTTCAGCAATTCCCAACTCAATCCCTTCATATGTTGGGCCAAGTTTATTTATACACAAATAAACACATGTTGCGAGTTCGCTTGGCGTTCGTTCTATCACTTTCCCAAAAAAACTGGCTAATATTTTGATTATTTCTAGCCTGGAAGATAAAGAGGAGAAATACTTATTATTACATAAAAAAGATTTATATTGAGTAAAATTTTGCACTGTGAAAATGGTTAGAAAATCCAGCAAACTCTTCCCGAATAACTTCCCCTACTTCTCTCTCTCTTTCAATCCTGTTATAGTCACTATTCGCTATAGATCCTTATGTTGCGCATAGACCAATTACTACTTATCTATGTTCAATCTGACAGCAGACCAACATCAGTGTTGAAAACTGAACTCATGACAACGATGAAGAGAATTGAGAGAATAATCTACCACTGAACTACGAGAAATCAAACTTTGAAAAAAAAAGAGCTAACCGTGATGATGTGGCCTCAATGTCTTCGAATGTCTTCGCCAAACAGAGATATGGTACCCTGAAAAATTTTTTGTCTATGGCATTTTCAAAAGTCTCGCTATATCCTTGGTAGGAAATTTTCTTGTCAAAATCTTTTCTGTTTAATTAAATTTCGACCATAAAAATAAATTTCAGTATTAGCAAATAATATTTGAGCATGGCAATGTTGATCAAATAATATCAAAAAATGTTGTCAACACTGACGGAAGCGATGCGAAAAGTTATGCTTTCTTTATATTTCATACCACTGAATATATATCCCGGAATATTCCCAAAGCTTTACAAGAGCAAGAGTAGAAAACAAATGCCAAAAGCTATAAAGAGAATGAATTATAATTAAAAATGAACAAAAAATTAGCACCCACTTTGCTCCTGTTTTCCAATCATTCTCTACATTTCGCGGTGTTCCTACTAATTCACTGAACATCCCGTGTATTTGTTTACATCCGATCGCTGCACGTCGTATCCTGAGGAAATATTGCATGCAGTAATGATTGCAATATACACGTATTAGTAACCATAATGTAAGCAACTCCAAATAAAATATACAAGTTGCTGTAACATATTCGGAAAAGCAAAATCTGAAATTTGAATTTTGGAATATTGAATTTTGAATTTTGGAATATTGTCAGAGAATGCTAAGTTTATATCGATCCTGATTGATTTCAACATGTTTGGAGAGAGAATACAGCAAATGAAAATCTTCCCTTCCTGCCCTGTCTTACAAACTGAAGCATACGAGGAGATGCAACATTGCATAACAGCAACAGAATGCATATGATGAGGGAGCGCGAAGTCTCTCAAGTTGGAGAAGTAGTATGTTCAATTGATGGATAAAAAAGCATGGTGCAAAGAGAGAGAGTGTTATTTGAATAAGGAAAATTAGAAAGGCAAGTTGAATATGACGGTGACAAAATGGTAGACTCAAGAGATTGAAGGATGAGGAAGAGGAGATCAAGAGATGCGGTCTCTGGACGGTGAGAATGTGTAGGGTGTACGATCGGAAAGCAATGCTTAGGAATAAGTAGTTGTCAGAAACGGTAGCATTTAAAGTGTTTTCTGGGATGTAAATTGGGTTTTCTGTCTCTCCGTTAGTAAAGTTTAGTATAGTAATGGGTTACAATTTTAATCTCCGATCGCCCTGTTGTGATGGGTTACTTTCAACATCATTGAAATATGAGAAGGAACTATTGTTAAAATTAGTGCTTTAGACAATAAGAATACTTTCTGCAGTTTTTTGAAGATTAAATGGATATAACAATACCAGGGTTATACGGTCTCTCCGCTTCTGATGACCGCTGCAGATTTCGCAAATGTAACTCCCCTTGGCCTTTAAGCGTGCCGACGAAAGATTTAAAGAATATGTTGAATATAGAAGCTCGGGAAGGGATTGTTTGTTGTCGGCAACCACATAACCACATGATTATATCGTTGCATATAGTTTGCTTTGAAATACTGAATGAAAGGGTTATCACATGGAATGCGTGAAATGAATGTGAAAAGAAGTTAAAGTTATTTAAAATGAAATATCAAGCAAACAGAACGGTACTTTTTGAAAGCGATGAATAAAAATGGTAGCAAAAGAATTGGAAGGATAGAAAAGATCCACCGAATAATGTATCATAATCTTTGCATTCAAAAAAATGTTTCAAATATTGTTGCGTTATGTTACTGTTCTGTGTCATTCATTTTATTAAATTTAAAGTGAATAAAAAGACAATAAAGGTATGAAATTCAAAAAGGACGTCAAAAATTCTCCAATGATGTTCGATTACGGAACTCTTTCATATGGAGAATAAATTTGTTCGAGTCCGAAAAGTTACTACTATTAACAACTTGAAAAGCTTGAAGCTTATGGAGTTCTAAAACAAAATCACTTGTTCATGGCATTAGAACTTTTGCTCATCCACATTATGGCATTTAAAAGCACTTGTCTCATTTCGTTGCGTTATTGGAATCTTGGTAATTCTGTTATTCAATGTGCGTCTGGTGTCAAGCTTTCAGTGCATATGCTGTATCGGCATTCGTGGTATCGGTATTACCTCAAGCTATAATTACTCGACGAAAACAATAGGATGAACTACCATTTGCAACGATCAAACATCTTGTTAATCTTCTTTGAGTGTCCAAATGTCTTCTCCCTTCAACTCTGTTTATCGCAGAACTTTCCCTAAGATAAGTTTCGATTAGTGTGTATGTGCTAATAAAATAGCAGTAAAAGTCATTAGCAAAACATTTACCTTATATGCTTGTAAAAAAGAGTGCAATGAGTCATTGAGTCATTAAAATTGAATATGGTAATTTGAAACAGTTTCAACATTTTGGATGAGCGGCATTTAATTTACGGCCATAATTTTCAGTCAGCCATTTCCAATACATCAACCTTTCATTTTTGATTCATCAATTCCTTACCAACCCTAACTTCTTCTAAACTAGCCTCATCTCAAACTTATTTAATTGTTTACATTTCTTTCTAGACTTTTCCTTTTATTCACTGAATTACCCTTTCTCTTTCTCGAAAAGAATGATCTGAAGAATATAGAACGTACCACATGTTCAATACCTTTGCCACCAAGCACTACACATGCATTTTTTTTACTTGAATTATATTATTTCTCAATTAATTTGTATAGTTCAAATTTATTGGCAATATCTCGTATTTTGTATGATATACGAAAGAAATGTTTACAGGGCTGTTAGCAATGTAATGAATGTAACTGCTGTGTATGTGTTATTTTTACGAGCAAATAGTCTCGCATGAAACACATTACCGGTAATTATGAAATTGAAATTGCCGCATGATTTTGCAAATATCAATTATTTCCATTTAAGAATAATCTGATCGTATTTGCAAGAATTATTTTTTCTTATTGGGTTTGTTCATCGTTTAATAAATTTATCCGTCTTTCAGACACAGAAATTATTCTTTGTTGAAAGATGTGATCAGTTCTACTACACAGGACAACTTCAATTTATTCTCCTTCCGCCACCTCCTATATTAGCGGAATAAACCGTTTCACACCATTTCGCCAAATGTCACAAGTAATTGCATATAGATAATGTCAGTTTTCATCGTATTGACGCTATTATTATTCTCAAGAACTTCTCATGCTGTCCTTGAGAATAGTAATTGTGTCAGTATGAATATTCCTCCTGAAATAATTCCAAGTTAAACGCTACAGTTAAAAATTAAAATCATAGAGCCTTCAGCACTAAGCAATGAATTATATTTTATGGAGCAAATTTACTTATCAGAGAGCAACATTTTCACTTGTAATAACTGTGCCAATATTAATTATGCTGCTTCTCTCTTCAAAACCTCATCAATTTATTTCAAATTTATGACAGCAACTGAATCTTTCTAATAACTTTAATCTAGTGGAAGATGTCTTGAAAATAACAGTTATGATGCGATCAGCGAAAGTTCTCGATCACTTTTTAATAACGTGTTATGTGAGCTGTCGAAATTTTCAAATCTTTCATTGCGTGCGGCATTCTCCTTTCGATCAGAATTCGACATCCCATTTCCACTTACAAATTGCAATTCGAATGCAACTTCCAGTTAATAAACTATCCGACATCCTAAGACTTTACTTCGGAGATATTTGCCTTCATGAATGTTGCTTTTCATATCCAAAAAACAATTCTGCATAATTAATGAAGCACTTAGGAACTTACAAACACATTGAATTTTGAGGTCTACTATAAATTTGAAATAAATTGATGGGATTTTGAAGAGAGAAGTAAGCCTAATTAATAATGGTACAGTTATTGCAAGTGAAAATGTTGCTCTCTGATAAGCAAATTTGCCCTATAAAATGATTAAATTTGCTGCAATTCTCCATAATTCATTGCTTAATGCTGAAGGCTCGGTTGCTTTTAATTTCTAATTGTTGCGTTCAATTTGGAATTATCTTATGAGGAATATTTATTTATATATGCTGCAATTCTCCATATTTGAGAATATAAGTCGATGTTATCAAAATCTTGAGATGTCTTTTTTGAAGGCTCCGTTTCTTTTAATGTAGCAATCAAATTGATTCAAAATTTTTGAACTTCTAGCATTTGGTATATTTTTAGCTATTTTGAAAAAAGAGAATTTGTAAAAATTACTTCGATTTTGTATCGCTGGCAACAATGACATCACATTCCATGTCAGAATCATCCGATTTCTGTTGGAGGTGCAAATAGCTTAGAAATAAACAGACTCACTTATTAATGAAAAGCAAAAATACGAAATTCAATAGCTTCTTTCTTTGGATTCAGAAAAATGTGATAAAGAAAAGAAAAAGAAACTTTTGAAATATCGTGAAAGTTATGTTAAGAGAAGTACTAAAACGGTAATTTTCAAAAAAGATGAAAGAAAGAGGCGAGCCTAGTTTATCATGCATAATTTGAAATCGTTGTACAGATCATCGATGAAAGACGCTCTATCATCAGAACGTTTAGATGAAGGAGCACGTCCAGTATTCTCTAAACAACTTGGTAAGAATTCAAATGCGCAGACAAAGTTCAACTAATTTGAGCTTGAAAAAATTTTCGTTATTTTTTAGTACTGGCAAGTGATAACATTCAGAATTTTGTACCGGAATATATACGCGAGAAATTTCAAGAACGAATTGAACCAAATTTATGCACAATCAAAGCAGTTTGCAAAGCTGAACACAAAAAGTAGCTTATTTCTTAAAATTCCAATTCCATAAGTTCAAGAAAAATTCCAATATTTCTAATGCTAAATCAGTTTTTATTTAATCATCCAAGCACTAACTTTAAAAATATTCAGGCCCTTTTACACATTTGTATTGAGTTGGTACAAAAATCTGGCACACATGGATATTGACAATAGTGCGTCAATTTCTAAATCCAAAAAATCGCCTATATGTGGTATGAGACTTTAAAATTAATACTGCATCTTGAATGAATACTATAATTTTTGCCATTTTACTTCAACAAAGTCATGCAAATAAGGTCATTTTTTGATCAGTAAATAGTTGGAAGTTTATTTTTTTACTTCAGCTGGAAATAAAATTGCCTATACTCAATTTTACTTCCAGCTAATCAAAAATTAATGTTTATTTAGTTTATTCATCAATTTTGACAGAGAAGAGAATAACGAAATCATTCCATATGTTGAAAGTATGAACTGATCGTACTGCAAGATCCAATTTAAGCTTAATTTGATTTGCCATTATATGTCGTATGGTTTGAGAAATAAATCTTAAGTAATTATCGTCTTTTAAAGTATTTACAGATCAAAGAAATGACCTTATTTGCATAACTTTATTAACAATGGATAACTACAGTGTCTAGTTATATTGAGCACTTCTAGTTAACAGCACTCTGTTCCATTTATTGTAATTTGCGTAGTAATTGATTCAGTTATTCACAATATGTGCGCTAAGACTGTACGCTACTGTTACAATATCGAGAATGTGACCAACGTTTACTCACTCTGCTTATAATAGCATATAGAACTGGATTAAAACGGCAACGACTGATGCAAAATCTAAAACAATAAATATGTGCAGTTGTACCTTTTTGATCTCTTCCCGTCACTTCTTGGTCATCCATTTTATTTTTTCCCTATGTTTCATTTATCTATTCGTATTTGGCACTAAATAAAGAAAAGGATGTTCGCAATGATAGCAGAAAAATGAAACTCACCTCCAGTTATAGCTCCATCAACGGGTGAACAAGTCCGTCGCTGCGATGGACCATGTGGAAAAATGCTACCGGTGAGAGAGCTTCGGGTCCACGGGCGGTGTGAGCATGCTATCTGTCTATTTTGTACCACCAATGCACCGATGATTGAAAATACTGATGGTAAATTCTTAGTTATTAAAATGTACAGGTAGGAGGAAGCAAAATTTCAACGTTGAAATTTCCAAGTGCAAACCGAAGTTTATTAACTTTGATGAAAACAGTCTCAGGAGAAATGAGATAAATTTGAATTGATAAAACTTATTTTGCATATACTTCTAAAAATGCTTTCAATAATTAAAGATTTAAAGCTCAAGTTACAATAGCGAAGGAGGTCGAATTCAAAAATAAATGAAGTGAAGGATTTTTGGTAATTTCAGGTTCCATAGGATGTTGCAACGAGGAGTGTTTTGCTACTGATTTAGCAGCCGTTTGTCCGGATCTAGTTTTGCGGCATAAATATTTCCAAAAGATTATTAACAAGCATAAAATGGATGAAATCATAGCAAAAGGTCATAAAAGTAGCAATCACAATATGAAACAGCTGCAACAAGCTATGGTACCAGGCTGACAATTTTTGGAGGAGCAGAAAATGCTTCAAACTATTTTATAGTCTTCTTTTTCTTATCAAACATAAAATATAGCGAAGTTCATTCTCATTTAGGGGATTATTTAAAGCGAAAACAAAAAGTATTTACTAAAGATTAAAGTTCTGAAAACCTGAAACTTTAGTTGATAGTTCAGACGTATATTTTGATCATTTGGATTAAGGATAGTCCTTCATTATTTCTGTTTAAAGCAGTTGTCATCTCCTGCATCTCAAACTTCATCAATAAGCAAATCGAGCAGAACTAAACGGAGCCTAAAGGAGCTAATGTGCGTCAAAGTGCTCGTTCTCGAGAAAGGCCCAATGGAAACGATTTGCCGACGTCATTCCGTTGCTGAAATTGGTTCCACAGAATCTCTGCGTAACACTCTGCAATGGATTGTTGGCTATGGGTTTCTTTTTTGCCCCATTCCCATACTTTAATTATTTCATTTTTAAATTATCTTCATTTCCAACTATCTCCACTTTCTCAGATTTCTTCTATCTGACCGGACATTCAATCAAAGGTAGCTAACCATGAAATTATAACTTAGACTTGTTAATTTCATTTCTATTTCATCAATCACTCATTTAAAGTCTAGAAATCTTAAGAAGGTATTTTAGGCAAAGTCTTCATAAATCTCGTATTTTCTTTAATTACGGTGGAAATGTCGAAGTTTCAAAGCTGCAAGAAATTGATTTGAAGGAATACGGTGATAAGAAAATTATCAATTTTCCATCAACTAACGGGATGCTCAGTTTTGTGATTGACAATACGAATACCGTTAGAGGAAATTCCTTTTCGCCTTATGTCTGATTCAAGTAATTACACATCACCTTATGAAAATCAGCCACAAGAAGTTTGCAGTTCATCCTCGATCTTTAATAATAGCTCAACTACCTGTCTTCAAACGGTCAATGCATATTTTTCGTTGCTTGAAAATGATGTTTGACTTCAAAGAAGCAGTAAACTTCGAAGTTTGCCAAACTTCGCTGCATTTGTTATTTAAGAACAGTGCATCTTCTGCAACTGATTGTTAGAACTAAACTCAATGGATGAGGTGATTTCTATGGTCTTGTTGCGAGAGGACGTGATGTACTATTGCAATTCAATTGTAATATCAAAGAGTTCAGTAGCTAAACTAGTCTTGCAATCACAATTATAAAAATAATAATTAGCAATATTCAATATAGCTAAGATGAACTTCCACTAAAGAAAAAAAGAGGAAAGAGAAAAACAAGTTTCTGGTAGTAAAAAATTAAGTTCTGTCAAATGTAAATAATCGATGGGAGAATTTTTATTTCAATATGAACTAATACTGGCAGTGATGGAGCATTAAGGAAAGACATTCAAATTCTACAACAATTCGATACGTCTAGCAATTTCACTCTTTTGTTTCTTTATTAATAACATTTCCTAAACGCAATCTTTTCAAAGGATAATTTTTCCTGTCTAATCATAAGTAAAATAAATGTAATAATGAAAAAAGTATCGCATACTTTTTATAGAAAGATGTAGAAGTACGGTTATCATTTAAACTTTTGAAATTGTCAAAATGAAGGTTAGTCGAGAATTCTGCTAATTAATGCAATATAATGTTTATTTCGTTTCTAATTTATGGGAGCGTTTAAAAGCATAGAAATAATCGATTTTATTACATTAAAATTGGATATTTTCCCTTCTCAATACTTCATTTCCTCTCTCAATTTTCTCTTCTTGCCAATAAATGTTTGCTTAACTGTGCGATGTTATCATTTTATAAATAATACAATGAAAATTTCACAAAATAATCAATCTGCAAAACATTGCAAATCGATATCTATCATCTGATCAGCTTAACCTCGAGGTTGATCGTATCGTAGTCCGTTTACTTTCTTCACAATATCCTCAATTTTGAATGTTTCCAAGCTTGGCAGACTATCATTTTTTGGTTGCTACAATAAAAAGGAATTTTTCAAATTTCGATAAATTCAACAGATAAGCTATATGATATTAAGTAAACATATCTTTCCGAAGATTAATCCGTTGTAAGAAAATCTAACGATGAATCGAAACATTGAATTCTATTTTTTCTTTTTGTATTAAAAATTTTTTAATCTTTTTGATTACTTTTCCATACTATCATTGAATCCAATTCATTGACTGCAATTTATTTGCAAGTAGAGAAATTATTCCAGTAAAATGGACGAAGAATCACTGAAGAAAAGAGAAAAAAAGTAGAAATGTGAAGAGTGGAAAGAAACCCTGCAAATAACTCCAATTGATACGCCATAAACTTGCTTATTCCAGATAGTATAAGTACCAGGATTCAGGAATAACGTATCGTATCCTTTGTGAACAAAAATACATCCCAATGTTTTCACTACTGCTTTATCGTCTTCAACAACACATGTCTGCTCCACTTTTGATTTTTTCGTTTGTTGGTACCTGTATATTTAATAATTTTTAATACAATTTTTTTTTTATTAATTTTATCAGCACTTAACACCAATATTATTAGCATTACTCAATAATAATTAATTGAATGCTGCTTTTATAATTTTTTTAACAAAGATCTGACTGACATTTGGAAGGTTTGAAAACAAGTTGTCAACAGAGGTCAAGTGCCATCTCAATGTGATTTTTAAATGTGACATTGGTTTTTTGTTTTATTTTAATTAAATATGATACATTCTTAATTTTTGCTTAAAAAGTTTCTTTTTCTAAAAATGTTTGTTAAATAAAATTGATTTCATATCAGAGTACTTGTTACTTGTATTGCTGCATTATAAATATTGAGCAACATTTCCTGCTGATAAGCAGATAAATGATGTTATTAAGCATTTTACTTCAAAAGCAATAACTTGAAACGAATTCTCTAGCAAAACTCAATCATACCATCTGCAGCCAACCACTCTTTCTACGGCTTCACCCTTTGTATCGCGTACCACACAACCAACCGGTTTATGTCTATGCTTATCCGGTCGTACTTCACACATAAACACCGTGTCATCTTTATGATAACGATCTCCATCATACAGCAATTTATTTTTGAAATGACATCCCACACAGATCTTTTGACTGCGGCCATTTTTTGTTTTACAGTAATAAATGAAATCGCCGTCCTGAAATTTATTTTTTTCATAAAATAAAAACAAAGCGTCACTTATAATGAAACGAATTAATTGAAAACTTGCCGGATTTCTGGTACTTTTTCTGATTGAAAGTTGCAACATAAAGAAATGCGAAATGTTAAGCCTAAAATCCAATCCCATCGATTTAAAAGTTGTGAAGCTAACTCAATAGTTGTAAATCTGCTCTGACTTTAAAGATTCATTCTGCAAATTGTCGGCAAATCTAATTTTTCCAATTTTTGATCCTAGAATTCATTTTACGACAAGTTTAACTGAACTATTTTTTTTGACGAAATAGTAGTTCTATCGCCAACAATTTTAAAATTTTAAACTTAACGGTAAATTTTTTAGCGACATTATTTTTATAAATAAGGATAACCCCTGCCTACCGAATTTAATGAATAGCGTTCATCTGTGGCTGTTTGTGCTCCTGAGAGTTCCGTCAATCCTCTTTAATCACGAAATATATTATTGCTTTGTTTCATTTGATGGCCGAAGTAAACAGTCGCTAATTGAAACTTTTTGTTAAACTTAACTGAAGTTTGAAAACAATTACGATCAAAAATTATAACATCTTGATCTTTTCACTTCAGATTATGTTATTATTATCTGGTCAAGTGAAGGTTTCAGGATGATAAAACATTTCACGAAATGTTAAGTGCTAGCCCCAGATTCAAATTTAAGGATCAAAAAGTTTTCGAAAATTTCTTTTTAGACACACAAGATGAAAAACTAAAAAAAGGTCAACTATTTCAGTAGTCGTAGCAAATATATAAGGTCAATTTCAATTATGCCATCACCGTTTCATTCCATTGCTGGTAACGATTACTATTTACATACTTTTTAACTGTCTACTAAAGTCATTTTTCGTTAACTAAACTCAGCTAGTTAGTGGTACTTTCTCGAACTAGCCATCTTGAAAAAAAGTTTTTCGAATTTTGTTTCCGTAAAAAGTTGAAAAGATTTTTGATTTTTAAAAGGATTCGATGCATATAAAAATTCGGAAAAATGACTTTGAACGAAATCACTAGAAATTTGAAGGATTTCCAGCGAATCATAAGGAAGAAAATAAATATTTATCTTGGCAGATGTTCCCGTCTATTTCCGAATTTATTGCTTTTATTAATATTCGCTAATAGCAGTTTACTGCTATGAGAAATATCACTTTGTAATGAAATTCAATAATTTTAATGAAAAACAATTATTTGAGAAGTAAATAATTCATTCAAACAGTTTGTAGTAGTTGCATTCAAGCAAAGAAAAACGATCAAACATATGTGGAAAATAGCTAACACCGTCATATGATGCTGTCATGACTGTCAATAAGTCGATGATGCTGTCAATAAGTCGTATCATTTTTAAATTTTATACCTTTACCAAGTAGCACATTTGCAACCCATAAGTTCACAATTCCATCTCAGGTTTCCGAAATGCTTGCTGAATTTTACTGAATACAATAAAATCAAAAGTGGACATCAATCGAAAGCGAAATTATAACGAAATTCATTTTCAATTTCAAATCTATTACTGAACCAAGAAAGGTTCTTCCAGTGACCAAACCTGTCATCTAGAAGAAATATCGTCTCATTTATTTTATGACTATTTTAGAACAAATATTTTTTTATCTTAGTTAATTAATACAAAAAGGCATAAATATATGTAAATGCGTATATAAAAAAACCGTATACGTAGATATGCATGCAACATATAGTTAGGCTTACTTTATCAGATCTTTCATCAAATATGATTGGAAATTAAGATCGAATATATTAAAGAAGCAATTCTCATAAATTATTTTGTACTTATGTTCCTGAATTCATATGAATAAAGTGCGAAAGTGAAGATCAAAACATTTCAAATAATCATAAAGAAATGATATGACAAATTGCTTCAGATTCCAGATGCTGATGATATTCGATCTTAAGAATCCGTCCATTGTTAGCATTTGATGGATCCGTCTATTATCTACTATCAATATCATATCCCGTTTAATATCAAATCGCTCATGATTCCGATTTCGCAAGTTCTGCATTAATTTAAAATTATATGTAGCAATTTCAAAAAACACTTTTATATTGATTAGGAAATACGTTATCCGAAAAAAAAGTCCACTATAATACATCTTAAGCATAATCCTGATATATACGACACTATGGTTAATTGCAAACATCAATGGGATCTTCTGGCTAGTATTTCGAGCAATCACTTCAATCAAACAGTCGAAAGCTTTGATCATTATCATGTAAAAGAATGGCAAAACAAAAAGAATTAGCTATGATTCATTTATTTTCAACTTATGTCTTATTCCGTAAATCAATAATTAATTTGTAGATCAAATAAGAAAACCAATAATGCACTAAAAGAAGATACAGTCACCTTATTCGTTATACAACACCTGCATCAATTATTTGTTCAAAAAAGTAGCCTATTCAGCAAATAGAAGTTTACATTTTGTTATAGAAAAGTTATTATTTAAAAACAGGAATCTTAATTATATTTTATAGGTTGGTTACAAAAAAAAAACCAATGCATCGATTTTGCTCAAATTTAATTAAGACAGAAAATATGAAACTGTTTTGCATGCGATAATTTGGGGAGGATTTCTAGAACCATTGGAATGTTTATCGTCAACGAATTAAAATCTAATTAGGTATTTAATTTTCATGAAAGGTGAACTATTTAAACTACTTTGCAGTCATTATTTCACAGTATATATGGGAAGTTCAATAAGATCCTTCAAGAAGAAATTTGATGAGTTTTTGAATTACAACTGCATTTCAATAAAACTCACATGCTTTTGATATTATTTATGTCAAATATAACGAATCATTTGAAAAGAAAATAATACGTATAATTAAAAAGATTTCTGAAATAAAGCAAGCTTGATTTACTTGCAATTTTCAAAAATTTAACTTATTTGTGAAACTTACTCCAATAAATGTAAGTATTTGGGGCAGTAATAAGTTAGATGAGAGGAATAAGTTTATAATTTAGTTAATGTTTATTCCCATTGTTTTTTCTTGCAATTGTGAAATGAAAGACATAGCGAAAAAGAAAAACTAATTGCATTCAATTGGAAATTATTCAAAAAAGGTCGAATTAATGACAATGAAAAAGGATGAAAATGCAAATTTGCTGGCACTAAGGGAATAAGCATTAAATTAACATTTTTTTACGTAAAATTAAATGATTATTCTTTTACAAAAATCAAATAACAATCATTTCAACTATAAACTGTTTAATTTTTCCTGAAATATTAGCAAAAAGTAATTGCTGAAATGACTAAAAAGAAAGTTGAAAATTCATTGAAAGATATTTGATAAGGAACCATTGATTTGAGTTATGTGATAGGAGGAGAAAATTCTGATAAACAGTTCCTTCTGATAAACAGTTTAAACTGGAAGTGAGCTTTGGTAAAAAGTTAGGAAAGAAAAAGAAAAAGAAATTAAAATTTAAATGGATTGAAGGAGACATATTTATTAATCTGTATGAAAAGGCTGGCATTGAAGGTTGATTTTTATGTATAATATTATCCAACTTCAAATGAGTGAATTATAATTAATTTCTGAATTGATATCGAAAGATCGGAAAATTAATAGGTAATCTCTTTCGTTTAAGTATATCTTTTCAACATCTTTTTGCCTTAATTTCATTTATTGGAAAAAACTAACAGCCCATTGGTCACCAATTTTGTAACGCACGCCTTTGTGGACACATCCTACTGAACACATTTGTACCGATCCATTGTATTTCTTCAGACACTGATATCTGAAAAGCATAAAATACAATGTTAATTAAATGTTTATCACTAACTAAAAGATATTCACTAATCATTTACTGAGTTCAGGCAAAAAAGTCCACTTACAGTTATCATTAAAATATTTAATCACTATGAATATTGCACTTTCCAGATTAGTTAGACTGCTTTGTGTAGATGTAATTTCTTTCGCTGTTTTCTTCGTTGCATATTTTTCATTGAAAATATAAATTCAAAAGTACAGACTCCAATAGGAAATGATATGCTTTTCATGATACATTGAAGATGGAAAGGAAAACAGAAGTATTGCATATTCATGTTAGGACAATTCTGTTTTAGACATAATGAAATCATTAGAAAGATTTAGGAAATTAAATTCCAAACCAACCGTAAGTTATTTTATCTAATTTATTCATTGAATTAATTATTTTTTAAAACTAATCTCACTAAAGCTGAATTTTGATTGTAAGCAAATTTATAAAAATAAAAATGTTAAAAAGGGAAATGGAAGAATGACATGTAAAACAAACGTGTATTCCTCGAAATCGTACTTTTCATTGAGTTCAATTCTATGTGATTTGTCATGAGTTATGCAACCTCTTATTTCAACTCTCAAATATGGTCCATCGGCTTTACACTCAAACCAGTAAATATGCTGTAACGTGTGAAAATGTTGAAAATAACCTTATTCAAACGATAGATTCTTACTGATAAGTTATGACTGGTATTACTGCTTCATAATTATTACTTGAACATTATTTGTTTTTATGGTATTTCACGTCGTTCTTTATTTGATATTTTATATTTGGGAGCCTACCTGTTCATCTTCCCATGTTTCACCGATCTTATACCGTTCATCCGGTTTCGGGACACATGCCGTAAATGCGAACTGTAAATATCCACTTTTATCTAGGATACATTCTATTTCATAACCGTTTTCCACAAATTTATCACCAATATTTAGTTTATCATTGGTTGACGTAAAACAACCTCGTGGTTCCAATACACCATTAACACATTTGTACCAATATTTCCCTAAAAGGCATAAAAAATTTGTTAACAGATATTAATAGATATCTGATAACTTTAAATTCAACTCCCTAAATGTCCAACATCTCATAAGTAGTAAATTGATTTATGATATGAAAATTTAATACCAAATAAGAATTCGGAAACCCTAATAAATTCGTGCTAGCAGATTATAAAATTTTAAGCTATCACATCAATATTCGAATATCATTTCTATAAGATTATCACGAAGGAATTAAGAATTAATTTCAATTAGCTTTGTTTAATTTACAAATTCCTTGAAAAGATGCATGAGTCTAATTATAAGTTTAATTACAACGTGTTTCTTCTACTGTTCTACAAAATCTGATGAAATTAAAGGAATTAATTTTGATGATATAAAATTGCTTGTTATCAACTTTTTTTTAAATCGGATCTGACAGGAAATGCTTTCAATTAGCAGTTTGTCTGATTGCTGATATGCAGGCTAATATGCAGGTAATGAAATTTTATAATTTGAATAAAAAAATCGATTTATTATAATTTCATAGAATCACACGTGGTAATCTAAGTGTAGTTGACGAGATAGTGTAAATAGTAAGAAAATGAAAAAAATCAAAAGGTGAGAAATGATGCTTCAGATTGAGAAGTAGGATTCGAACAGAGAAAAGTAGGATTCGAGAGTAGGATTCGTACAGCTTCTTCAGAAGGTTTGATACTCACATTCTATCATATTATTGATAACTTAACTTTTAATTATTTTTCGAAAAAGAACACAATTTTATTGCTCGGAGAAAATACTTAAAATCTGCGAATTATAATTTTATTTTGCTGTTATTTAGTAGTCATTTTGGCTCAAAATAAGTCAAAAAAGAAATAAGAAGAAAAGTGGACCTTTGCTGATCTGTTCATCATGACTGAACCAGCGAGCTGATTGACCGTTGCCGGATGACCAACATCGCTTTTGCCGTAATCCTGATAATGTTCCGTTTGCTATTCTTGCTGTTTCTGTGACGACTAGCAAAAATAAAATCCAGAAAAGACACCGGAACATGTCGATTGCGCTCAGGGTAAAAAGGAATTGCGGCAAATGCTTGAGAAAAGTAGATAATATTGCAGAAAAACTAGAATTTATGATGTTAAGAGGTTAATGTCAGATGGAAAATGAAGGATAAGATCAGCTGTACGTTGATATGAACGTATCTGTCATTTCCAAATTGAATTCACCAAAAGCAGAACTTTAAATAAAAGTAATTTAATTTTTGTTTTTCTTCTAAAATTTCATCGCAACCAGACTGACAACATCACTTCCATTTTTCTTCTTATTTTTTGTTCCCTTATAATCAATTCTGCGGTCTTTGAGTATACAGCGAATAAGAAGGATAATGATAGATGAAAGGAATGATGATGATGATGATGATGATGATGATAATAATAATAATAAGTGATAACGTTGTGATCATTGATTAACATGAAGAGAAACGAGAGGTACTGTTTACTCTATGATATTGTTCTGTGTTTTGTTATAATTCTTACTACTTTTTGTAAAAAATCAGTTGTACTCTTTTCCATTTCTTGTTCAACTTAAAGGCTTTTCTTTTCATTATAAAAATTCTTCTTTCTTTCGAAAAAAGATTTTAGATAGTGCAAGTGTTGTTTTCTTGCATGATAAATGTAAGACCGTAAACACTAATAGTTGGAAATATTTTGAAGTAAGAAATTTGCAGAAGTAGAAAAAAAATTCTTTAATTCAAATAATGATTTATTTGAATTTCTATTACAGATAAGGATGAAATAGAACAAGACAAGAGCCAAGAGCGCAGATTTGGATTAGTATCCAATACAGTAATGAATAACTGTGAACGAAGTAAGGAAATGCAGGTCTTATGTAATTGATACACCTAAACATGGGATAATAACTCTAGTAATGAACACAATTTCAGACAGAAATGATATTCATGGAAATTCAGTAGCTTACGACATCATAAAGCGCTAATCTTGTAACTTAATATTTAAATAATAGCAAGCTGGAAGTGAAGCCATTGAAAATCAATTGATACAGAATCTTTAAAGTGATTAAAAATAATTTTATAAAAATAATTTCAATATTTTCGAAGTAGAATCTGTTTTGCTTTGAGCTAATAAAATTAAAGTTTTATGCAAAAGCGGTAAACTCTTTTTTAGAGATACTTATCAAATTGGCCAATTATTGATGTTACTTATTATCGATATTATATCATATGTAGTTTCACATATGGAACCGGTTGTATACTATGTGAGATGCTGCCATGTTCAGGTATAAATAATCATAGCTGATAATTTGACAAAATTAGCATTGGGTATATTAACTGGGAAATCTTATTTTCCGTATTTATCACCTCCCAACAAATAAGGATTAGGCGGAGAAAATATATTCTGTAGAAATGGTATCATTAATAACTTTTAAAGAAAAGTAAGGAATTTTTTTATTTCAGAACTAAGCGAAAAACATTAAACATTGGTTTAAAACATCAGTAAGGAAGAGATAAGAGAAATACTTACAGTGATTTGTTATTTGTTGACAAAGTCTCTTTTGAATTTGATTTAAAATTTCACATTTGCTGGTTGAAGAACTGCCACACAATTTTAATATGTTTGGGGAAACCGATCAACAAATGAGTTGAAAGCGTTTTAAAATCGTCGATGCCTTTTTTTAAAACGTTTTAATAATGACGCTGAAATCTCTATAAACCAATTTCAATTCGAAACTAAAAATTAGAAGGAATCCTGGGCAAAGGATAAAAGTTAATTTTGTACGTACTATCTTCAAAACGTGAGTAATATCAAATTTAATTAAACTTGGGAAATCCAATGAAATTTTAAGAATGATTAATTGAATTCGAATTCATTTGTGCTAGTAAAATCTGTTAGGGTTATTGACAAGAATGTGTTGTTAGTGGATGTCCGTATATGCCTGATACGGCACGATTTAAAACTTTTAGAAGAAATTAACGACGATGTTGATCTATAATCACCAAAATTTAATTTTATTAATTAGATTCATTTACGGTATCAAATTTTTCGTATTTGATATATTCACCTAAGATCAAAATTTTTAAAGTTATTTGAAATTTCATGTGCAAATCACTCATCGATACGATCCATTGTATTGTGAGGAACATGAGCAAAATTGATAATGTTTAGGAATGAATTCAATTCAAATTTTAATCAAGGTTACGTCGGTTTGATTTAATTGATTCAGCCTGAACGCAACTGAGCAACCGGATGCAATCCAAATGATGCAAAGAACAACAACTTTCATAGTATTCTATTGCTGCAAGAAATTTTGAATCAAACCAGAATATACCAGCAAAATCGGAAACAGTGAAGAAGGGAAATTAATTGATTCCTTCCTTTTCTTACCTATCATTTTATAGGTGAATAACAAACACTACCATCACCAATTAGTACATGAAATGCTTTCCCTTTAATATGACAAATGTCTGATAAATAAATAAAAATTCTTTCAATGTCAAGATCGATTGGTTGAAATAGTAAATAGGTAAGAGAATCTTATTTAGTAAATTTTGACAACAATAAATTTCAATAAAGAATAAATAATTTAATAATAAAAGAATAATTGGATAATTTGAATTCATTTGCTATAAATCAAAATAATTTTTTTTCATTGAAGAAGAAATGGAACAAATGTTTAGACAACGGAATGATTGACAAGTTTGTTGGATGATTTATTTGAAATTTTGTATAAAACTTGGATACACTTCCAAACTATCAGCAACATAAGTTACAAATACATATTCAAACATTGTTCTCTTTTTTGAATGTTTCTTTCAGGACGAAGTGAAATTAGTTTGAAGGATAGTTGCATTCACTCTTTTACTTCAAGTCTGTTTTGATTTTTTCATAGATTGAGGAATTTCAAGTAAACATAATTTTAGATATGATTGGAATGAATTTCTTTATCACTTCTCTTAGTTTCATAAAATTGATACATCTCTGACTGCCTAATTTATCGACATTTTATGTGTTCATAGATTTTCTTATATGTGTTTAGATGAATTGAAATGTTATAATGAAAGAATCGTAATATCCGTAATTTATTTGATTTTTTTTTTTAGACTCAAAATTCCGGAAATTCAGATATTAGTAAAGCATGAAGTAATTAATTTCACACACTCATCATTCGTTTCTTTCTTTTTCCGTTCGTATGATACGGTTACTGCAACAGAAAAGTTCAGTGCATCATTTATCAACTATTACATATGTTCGAAAAATTACATATTTTTCCGTATATAATTTCTAGATTACGTTGAAATACAAAACCTGAGAATAAAAAAGAAAATAATATAAAGCAGTAATTTTGGAATTTCCAATAGCAACGAGAAATCTATAAAGATTCATTTTCCTTACTGTGATTAAATATCACATTTAAATATATTTAATACTATTTTCTCATTTCATCAAGTCAAGTAAAAATAAAATATGTTACGAAGTTAGAATTAAACAAGCAAATTCACATCAAACAATATTACATACTAGAAAAGTGCTGTGATAATTTCAAAATTTAAAGAAAATAAAACTGAACAACGTGACAAATTAGAGGTGAATGATAAAATGATAAATAGTAATAAAAGATGATAAGAAGTTCGCATGACAGACATGTATTTATTGCATTCTTATCTGTATTTTTACTTATAAAATAGCCTTTTCTAAATCTTTTAAAATCTCAAGGCTAAATTAACTTTTACCTCCTGAACTTTCAAAACGACGAAATATTCAATTGCTAAAATCTTTGTGAAATGTTAATTATTCGACAAGAATTTAGAAACTTTTTGGATAAGAGGAGAAGTGGTAAGCCACTCATATTACCGACTAAAGTTCAAAATAATATTATAAATAATCTAATTTAAAAATAAGAAAAGTACAGGAAAGTTTTTCTAGTAAAAAAAGCAAAGGAGAAATGAGAGAAAAAGGACTGAAAGTTGTTTTGAGATTATATTTTTATCAACGAGAATTTATTACAACAAATTTTCATACATTCAATTGGTTCTATCGATAACGATAACAATGACGATTTATGGCCACAATTTACTATTCATTTTTCTATTATCAAAAAACAACAAAGTTTCATTCAGTCTGTAATGTGAAAATTAAAAACAAACCAAATCTTACTTTGGCCATTTTTTGCCCTTTGTTGTAAATTATGCATGGGATATAATTTGCATAAATATCTTGCAGTGTCATTCTCCTATATCAAAAAAAGAAATCTAAACAAGATCAGTTAAATACTTCATAGCGTATGATCAATATGATGCAGAAATTAATTGAATAATATTAAACAAAGAGATGAAGTATAACAAGAAGAGAAATGGATCTTTTAGGAGAGATTTTCAAGAAGATTTTGTTTCAATTTTAAAATCAAACTTTGAGCATTGGTTCTTTTATTAAAATAAAATTCAAAGCAACTAAAACAAGGAAAATTCAAATTTAACGTAAAATTGTAAAGCATCAAATAAAATCAAAATAAAGGAACGGATTATTTTTCATTTTATTATCTTTTAAGTTTCATCTTAAATTAAAAAAGATAACCGTTTAATTTTCATTTTTTCTTTCGTTGCACTTTTCATTTCAAATTACAAAACAACGAAATTAAATGCATTTTTTAAAAAACAAGAATTTATTGGAACGCTGGAAGTGGCTTACTTTATAATGAAAAGATTAAATAATTCGAAATGACAGCTTGATATAATGGTTTTCGTTTATATGATCGTTTAAATGAATGAAGTGTCTGAAAGGATGGAAATGAGTTGATGAATTGTCGCATATTACATCTCATTAATTATACAGTAGCTGGCTAATAAGTTGAAACAAATTGTCAATTTTGATTCATCCAAATCACTCTGGGATATTAGTCCTCAAAAATTTTCATAACAATTAATACTTTTATAGCATATGGAGAAAATGGTAGGTGCAAAAAATCAAAAAAAATTCCCGAAATTTATTTGAACCGAAAAAGATATCAAGTAATTCGATGTAGATACTAAAACTTGCTGTTTTTTATATCGTCGATAAAATGCAGACCCAGTTGTTTGTTTTTTCTCTTCGAGAGAGAGAGAGAGAGAGAGAGAATGTCAATCAGTTTCTTTAAAAAAGTTTCTTCTAAAAAAGGCCACATAATAAATGAAGTAAAGTTGACATGTTACACTGATGACAGTAGCAAAAACTATGCCAATATAGGTAGGTTTGTATCCATTTATTTATTTATTGAAAAAAGTTTCCATGTTTATTTCTCCATTTCTCGTAGAAATTTGGAACAAAGAAGTGTAGTATATGATATTACAAATTTCAATCATTAAGTGATAAATATTTGTCAGTTTCTGACAGCTTTTCAAGGACAATCCCGTAATTTTATTATTGTAATTTAAACGAGGAAGAATAAAGAATTAACGAAAGAAACAGTGAATCATTTCAGACAAAAACTTAAATTTTATTTTAAAAGAAGAAAAAAGAATTTACAAATATCATCGAACCTTTTTCTATTTAAAATTAAACTAATAATGGTCGCTAAAATTTATTTCAAGATCATTGCTGAAGAAGAAAATCATCATTATGATTCAGGTTTGACGATTTTTTCAACCAGTTTATATTTGATAAAATCAACGTTTACCTACTTTCATTTATTTCATTCAATTTATACATCAGACAATTAGTTTAAGATAATAAGTTAGACTGATTTGCAAACCGATATGATGATTATTCACCAATGATCATTGATGCTATTACTATCATTATCATTAAATATTAAAGCAAATATAAATTTGAATATGATTTTGCAACGGCAATAGCGTGACCACTTTTACTTTTGCATAATTAATTTTCAATCAGTATGGTCCGAAATTTGAAACTTTTCTGCAATAATATTTTAAAATGTCATATATTTTATTCTCAATTTACGTACAAAATGGACTTTTAGCATATTCAACTTATTTTCGTTTCTTCGAACTTTTTATTCATATAATTCACTAATGACATATATGTATTGTTGGCTATCAAAGTTATTATTCGTACATCAATAATAACCGATCATTTCTAGTGGACAATCAATAAGACTTCTGTAAATTTTAATCAGCATTTCTTGAATATCAAATTTTTACAATCAACGTGAAAACAAATCATTTGGCGTCTTGGCCTCGAATTTTCATTTTTTATATCAAATAATTAACCTATGTTTTGCTTTATCAATTGAAAATTGAATTGAAAAAATATTAAGGGTAAAACAAAGTGGTGTGATATGAAATATATGAATAAGTTAAGAAACAAATAAAACGGAATTTGCCATGATGTTGCGTAGACTATCGCAAGATCAGCAAACCAAATAAAGTATATAACAGTCTGATCATCCCAAATAGTCGTTCCTGCCTCCTCCTTCCTTCCCCACTGCTCCGATCGTTTTGATTTTCCATTTAATTGTGGGAAAAATATTTCAATATTGAATTGTTTGTTTAAAATTTCTTCTTTATAATAAATAGTAATACAAGTATAATCTCATATATAATGACAAATGTATGATCGTATTGCCGAATATTCTCACTTTGTGTTTATCAAATACAAATTCATCATTAAGATGATGTATAGAAAACATCAGTCATCAAAATGAAATAAATTTTGCTTTAATTTGGACACTGCAGCGACTAAGCTTAATTACATTGAATTAATGCTTCAATTAAATTATTAACTCAAGCTTACAGAAAGGTGATACAGTTCGGAAGGCCTATGAAATCAACTAAATTCATTGTTTTTATACATATAAAGATTAGGAACGCGTTGAATAACGCTAAAATACATCCACTGGATCAAGAAAACAGAAAAGATTAGTTTTAAAAACAGCTATTCGATCTACCAGAGTATTAATCACGAGAATGATAAGTAAGATTCCGATTAATCGCTGAAATCTAAGTACATATATCACTTTGCGGATAGAATCGTCTTCATTTTAATAATAAAAAAACTATACAATTTTAGTATACTTCTACAAAATTGAAATTTGATTTAAAAATTGGCTGGTGCAGATACCGGTGCCAGCTTTTTATCAAAACCAGTAAGAAGTTTCTTAATTTCTCCAATTGCTTTCGCTGGATTCAAATGCTGAAATTAATAAATTTTTAAAATTATTATAGCACAGAAATAAAATCAGCTTGAATAACTTACTTATTTGATTTACAGCAATACATTTTGTAACTGCACGATGTACTCCTCTGTATGGTAAGCCATAGGTAATAAAGAACATAAATTTAATCGATTATGATATAAGAAATGTAAACATCCTTACAGCACCTTTAATTATCATCACCTAGTAGTTAAATGGTTAATGGGAGCTCAAAAGTCATAGGTTAGCACTTGCATTAAAAATAGAAATGAAAATTAATTGAATTTTAATAAGAACTATATATATATATATACACCTTCGGACAAGTTTTTGTGCAGTTCAGAATAGTGTGACATTTGAAAACACTAAAATGATCATGTATTTTTGACAACCGCTCCTCAGCATAATCGTCTCGAGAATCAATCATCCACCTAGAAAATTATGTATTATAGAAAAAGAAAACAAAAACATTACAGTTCTCAACAATTAATCTCAAAAAAATTTTATAGGTATGCAAGCGACATTCACTTACATTTTTTAATTAACCTTCAATGTGTTTAATAAACATAGGACCAACTGCTTGCAGTAAAAATATAACAACATAAGCACGGCATGCATTGCTTGCCATATATTTTTATTTTAATTACTTTCCTTTTATTTACTGACGATTAATCCGCGCTTCTTACAAAATATACGATGGTCGAAAATATCAAAATGATATTTTAGCTTAAAATCCGAATCATTTAATTATCAAAATAGCATCAATTTTTGAGCATTAATAAATTTTATTTCTAAAATTTAATAAGAATGTTCGGGTCTGCTGGCCACATAGTCAAATACAGTTATACTAGTTTAAACTTATTTTAAAATATGCTCTAAAAACAAATGAAAATGTTTGAGAAAACTTTCAATAATTGAACAGATTTTAGCAGTAAACTGCTATTTAACTATTGAAAATAAACTGTTAAAACAGTTAAAACTTGCTGCCACGCTAGCAACACGTAATCATCTGTAAATACCGAATTACTAATACTTCCAAACAAGATGAAGTAATAAAGATCAGATTTAAAATCTATATCTTATATAAAATCTATAAGAAAGTCACTCAACAGTTCAGGAAAAGTGGATTTTGCAGTGAAAGCAAACCTATAAGACTGAAGAAGAATAGCTGGTCCCAGATATTTATCTGCATTCCACCAGTACGACGGACAACTTGTGCTGCAGCAGGCACAAAGAATGCATTCATATAATCCGTCCTAAACATATCAGTTGGTATAAGAAACTGAACAACATCAACACTTTTATTTGCACTGCTGAAAATAAAAAAAAAAGATGTTTTGGTACTATATAAGTTGAACTTTCCACTAAATTCTGATTTACCAACCAATTTCTCACGCTCTTTTTCTGTTTGGTACATCTGCTTCTCACCAAGGACTAATTTATTCTTCTTCTTTAGCCATGGCTCAATCGATGCGTACTGTGCGTAAAACAGGTTCATGTCTGGTACCAAATCCTGGCAAATAATCACTGATTATTTGAAGATGAACTGTGGTAGATGTAACCTAAAACTGGGCTCAACTTGAGACTGCTATATTTAACAGCTTTTTATTGAAAAACTTATCATTACCTAATACAAGGATGCGACACTAACAAGATATACAAGCGCTTAGCTCAATCAATTCGATCAATACAAAATCCCTATAGGAAGAACAAATTTTCAAAGAAACAAAACGTAACTTCATAAAAAATGGAAATCCAAAACATGACGAAGTACATGGGACCAGAAACTTGAAGATAAAGAAGCACATTGGTGCCTCGTGGTCTGCAAGTCCCCATTTTGCAAGTTCCTACTTGCAGACCACGAGGCACCAATGTTTATCTTCAATTTCTGGTCCCATACACTTCGTCATGTTTCGGATTTCCATTTTTTTATGGAGTCACGCTTTGTTTCTTCGAAACTTAATTAGTTAGGTTGCAGCAGATAGTATCGAAGTTATTTCTAGCAATCATTCACAGGACACAAATCTACTATCATGACCATGACTAAGCCTTCCAAAATTGTTTCAAACTACACTAAAACTTACCTTAATGACAAACATATGTGGTAGAGGGTAGATTTTAGTGCTCTTGCTCGTATCTTCATCAATTTTACAAATACAGGCCAAAGTATTTTCACCACCGATATTCATAGCACATGAACCACAAATGCCTAAAATTGCTGCAGCTTTATCTAAACTACATATTTCTTTGAAAGTAGTTCCGCTAGTCTTGAGCACCCATTCGTCGGTGTGGTTAAGAAAGAAAATTTGAATGCTCTGGAAAGTACATCTGTGAGCAACGAAATATGAAATCCAATATGAAATTACAAACCATATAATTCCTCAAAAACAATGGGGTAATCGATGCCACACTGGTAAGGAAATTTTACAATTATTCAATTAATTATGAAATGCGCTGAGCTTCATTGTTCCTTTCCATTCCGAGAAAAATTCTACCAAGATATCTCATTTGTGCAAAATACCTTCACGACATGAACGACGGAAAGTAAGAGTCGGGTCGACTTCATTTTTGATTTTGATCAGTGCATCCAGAATCATTGCACCACATTCATCCAAATCGACATCATATTTCTGAAATAAAATTCAACATAACGTATGCGAAGTATACAACGCGGGATGTGTGCAGGAAGCCGTTCATGGAATTACCACGCAGCTGAAAAACACTTCATTCGATTTTGATAAATCGTGAGTATGAATGAAATTTTCATTTTAAATTTAGTCAAGAATTTAATTCGTATGTACATCTGCCTGTTTCAAATTTTTTGTGTATCGTGAATATAAGTCGACATTGTTTTCTTGTGAAGTTTAGTTGAAAAACAGTTTATAGCAAAACCGCGACAGACAGGCATCGAATATATAAAGATGTAAAGAAAGATGCGAAGTGCTACTCAATAGCTCTTCCAAGTTTTATAGGGTCTTCCACAGATTCCTTTTATGAAACCTAGATTTGTATCTGATAATAGCATGAAGACGAAGCGGTGCAGGGGGTATCTGAATTGTATTAATTGTCGGTAGTCAAATTATTATAGATTTCCAGGACATCTGCAAATAATGCAGTGATACAAGGAATCTTATCATTTTAATCACTCAAAAAGATTCTATATACAGTCACTTAGGATCGATAAAGTTCAGTGTTCCTCAATTTTAAAGATGTTAGAAAAAAGGCTTCACCTGCAATTGAGGTTGTGATCCGGGCTCTTCCGGATTATAACGATATATCTCGAATGTTTTAATACGCTTCCCTGTTTGTAATGTCGATGATGCGTAACGTGCCATCTGGCGTACAAGGTTTCCTGTACGGCAGAAACTGGATGCACAACGAATCATCACTTTTTAATGACTAAAAATGAATTCGTTACATTACGTAACTCGTTCCAAGAAAAAAATCAAATGAACATAAGAGCCAGCTACACATCCAGTACTTAGTTACAACAAAATACCAAAAACTTGAACCAGAAACAACTCATACTGCAGTGGAGGGTATAAAGAAGATAATGATATATATTTTTGATTTGAAAGCGCTGATATTTTCCATTGCTCTAAGTACACTCGGAAGGCCATGACACCGTGGGATTAGCTAAAGATACGATCGAACATAGCCTTCTACTAACAATAGTAGTACGCCTATCGCCTATGGTACAACCTGATGCAACCAGTGCAACTAATGTTCACAGAACCATATTTTCAGGATGTTCAGACAAAACCAGGTCCACACAAATGTAAGGCCATATCTTGGGGTAGTCTCTTTGATACATGCCATTTCCGATTGTCACATCTGCTATTATTGATCTCGAATTTCTTTTTTAGATAGCCGACTGTGTGTATATAAGGGAATAATATACATCCTTCGATCTGTACGTGCAATGCGTTACACGAAAGGCCGGGAAGTTCAGTAGCTGTTGTGGATTAATGGTTTCAAAGAAATCTAATGTAAGAAATGCATTGCTGTATAGGATTAACAACGACGGATAGACGCCAAAATATCCAAAAATCCGTCTCATTTCGTCTAAACAACATTTGCGCATGTTCTGTGACCATCCGACGAATTAACCAGAAATTTGATGGTTGAATCTCTTTCGGTACTCGGGCGCGATCATGTTTAATTATGTCATGACGAATAACTAAATCTAGCAATTAGAAATTACTTGTAGTTAAATGTTGAACTTAGAATAGTACAGAGAACAGTAATATTTCGCTTTCGGATGACCCAATTCACTGAATATAGGTTTCTAAAGATTCTCAGTTTAAATAAAGTGAGGTTTAGGGTTTAGGTACAAAATGAGATGAAGAATTTTGCTAAGTTAGTTGTTCAGTCGACTGTAACATAAGAACTTTAGTTGCTAATAATGGGATGTTTCTAATAATGGGATGTTTTGTTGGGAAAGCTTTTCACAGAGCAATTACGAAAAAGCATTGCATTATTTATTGGGCGAGTGCTTCGAAAGGAGCATTTAGGTTGTCTTTGTTTCTGATGTTTCTGTAGAGTAATATTTCAAGAGCAATATATAAATAAAGAGAACCTATCACTTTCAGAGAGATTACTTTAAGATCAATGATTAAGATTGAGGTTTGTGCAGTTTCACGGATTCATTATCTTTTTTTTCATTCATTATCCACAGCAATCCCATTATCTACAGCAATTTTTCATCCATTATCTGCAGCAATTTTCATTATCTACAGCAATTTTCACGGATTCATTCATTATTTGCAGCAAACCTGTTCGACTGAAAGATAATGAATCCGTTAGTTTCACGGATTCATTATCTTTCAATCGAATGGGATTGCTGTAAATATCATGCTGTGCTTCTTAAACTTTATAAACATCATTGGTACATACCGCGGTCCTCCGATGTAATTTTTGATTTTAGCTTAATGGCATTATATAAACGCGACCAATTTCAGGCACAATGACATATAATTATTGATTAGTGACACTAATGACATCCCATGGCAATTCCGTAATTATTTCGGAAACTGACAATTTAGATAGCAGTTCACTGGAACTTGTATCCACTGTTGGAATTGGGCAACACGAACCGGTGCAGCAGCATGAAGATGGTGATACTTCGAGGATGAGTTATACTACAGTACGCCGTAATTTCATAACAAATTTGTGCTTTAAAATAATAATTCATTAATTATGAGAGTACGTCATTACGTGCATTCGTCATTGAGGCACATAACTTTTTAAGTCAAATGTTTGCGACTGTTCTGTAGGTTTACCGTTTAGTGCATTCTTAAATTAGAGGATTCTTTATGAATCGTAGCTAACACTCAGTAAAACATATGCATATTATCTTTATATATTAATGATATCTTTATGTGTGACATGTCCTAAATGGCGATCTATGTAAAATTCAAAGCTTGAAATTCTAAATGAGAATCTTGAGCTTAAAAAATACATGTTTCAGGTTCCATTAGAAGTACTGGAGGTAGCCGGTATCGATATTGAGAATTCAGGTGAATTAACTGAAGAACAAATAAATACAATCATGGCGCTGATTGGACCAAGTGGTGCAACTCAGCAGCATAATTTGAAACAAGAGCAGGTTGATATACCGCAGTCATATGCTAATAATGCGCCCAGCTCTTCATCTGAAACAGGAGATCGTTTAACGCTGTACATTCTGGATGATGGTTCATTGAAGCTTACAGATGCCGCACTTCAGAAGGAATTTTTTGTAAGTCTTAGTCTTAGGTTTCGTTATTCCAAAAATAACTGATATTTACCAACAACTCTAATTCTTCTGTTGGAATTGGTTCTTCTTTAATTCTTCTGTTATGTTGGTTCAACGGTTGAAAATATAATGACTAATGAATATGATATATGACTCTAATGAATAAGAAATCAAAAAGATTAACGTGATATAACCTGGGAAAAAACTCAGACTATTTTGTTGTGATTTTATCGTTAGTATTATTAACTTCTAGTACATTCGCTATTTCAGTTTACACAAAGGGACTTAGCATTGCACAACATTGATGTTGATAATTTAACTGATGAAACTTTGCAAAAGATCATTCAGATCGCGATGGAATCGTAAGCTTTTATTTTTTACGAGTAGACTTTATGGTCTACAATCTACCGTATAGTTTAAAATGTGTGGTTTAAAAAATAATGGAAAAAATAAATTTGTATATAACTGCATGGGTTGCACATTTGATCCAAAAATTGAAGTGGAAAGCATGTTATTTTCTAGAAACGAAGTCGTAGTAATGAAAAGGCGAAGAATAGAAGATGTTAACTGTGTGGAATTTACTGGATCAAGTTTTTTAGCTGTAAGTTCTCATTCACAAAATAAAGAAATTTGACTAGACTTGTATTCAGCTTTGAACGAGAATATGTGAAATGAGGAGGTTAAATAGTTAATCGTTTCAGAATACTTCGATGGAATCATCCTCATCTGCTTCTTCAAAAAGGGCACTCGTCGCTGGTAAACTTTAGTGTTTTATTGAATTTTACGACTTTACTGACTTCATTATGTTGACGGAATTTTAATTCAACACTCTCATGCTTTCACTTTTCAAAATTTTGTTAATGATGGCTATTTTAGAAGAGCATCATGTCGAATCGCAAATGTCGTTAATAGGTACTGAAGTTGAAATTAAACGACATGGTAAAATATATTCCGCCACAATTAAGTACTGCAGGCAAAGTGGAGGGTATAAAGTGCAGTTCAGCGATGGTCATTTCGAATGGGTTAGTGAAGATGAAATACGTTTACTTCATGGTATGTTTCTGTTATTTTAAACTAGTTCTGTTTTCAATATTTTCTATTTGTGCATATTTTTATTAAAGTAAAGGTTATCCAATTATAATATTTCGCTGTTCCAGACGAAAATCCTGGGAAACACAGCGACCATGAGTCCTATAGTGAAAGGGCAGGAACTGTATATTCCGGTGATGCAATATCAAAAAATATTGACGACCAAAGATTCATTCCGCAGATTCCGGGTGTGTATCCTTTACTTTATAATTCTTAGTTATTTTTACTTTATATTCTAAAGCTGAAATTAATGATTGGCTGGGTAATACAGTTGCAGGTATCAAAGTTACACCAACGAATGGTTGTCGTAAACAAGAAGAGCCAAATTTTTGCTGTGTTGTGTGCGATCAGAAAGTTTATCAAAGGGTTTGCTTTTTTCTGATATTATTGTTGTACTTCCGAAACTCATAGATTATTTTAATTCGTAAATAGATTTATGTGAAAGTTATGTCGAGAAAAGACTGCTCAGTTGGATTCCAGATAAATTTTAGTCTTATATGATCAATGAGGCAAGTTGAAAATGGAAGGGGTTACCCCAAAACAAAGTGGTGCAATTCTATGAAATGTTAGTCACATCTCAATAACAAGAAGAGCATCAAAATTTCATCTTATAGTTTGCTTTCTTGTGATTTTTAGAAGTTGGAAATGTTAGAGTTTATCTTAAATAAACTTCCGTAGAGTTCCATAGAGTTTATCTTAAATAAACGTTCCAGGAACCACAGTACATTGTAATACGAATTCCTGCTTGTGACAGATGTGCTGAGCAAAAGATGATTTTGCTAGATGGTACCACAAAATATTGCGAGGCACAGACGTGTGCCAGTGTTCTGAAAAATGATCTTCGTATTACTACCGTTCCAAAGGATGAACAGAGAAGAAGCTAATCTACAGGGGTCAATTTTTTTTAGTTCTTACACACGTTCTGATAAACTTTCTCGTCTTTCGGTAATGTAGAAATATGCCTATTAAACAGAAGCTATTTAAGGGGAAGTGCGTTACTAATCTTAAGTTGATAAATTTTGGTAATGATTATTCTTCAGGAAGCATTTTTTATACGACGATATCAAGATGTTATTAAAGTGAAAAAAGTTTGGTCGATGACAGATTGCATTATAAATCATAATCTTTTAATTGAATATAGGAAATCGTTTAGAAATTTGAAAGGGGAACTTCCGAAGATTTTTTGAACGAATCGATTAGTTTTCTATAAATAATTCACCAAAATGAGGAAATTGTTTCATACGTTCAGTTGTATCATTTTTTATTTACTTATCTAGAAAATTAGACCAGTGGTTATGTCTCTGAAATTTGACGGACCTCTCTTAGGAACTCTTCCGAAAAAATTGCATTGGAGTATGTTTGCTGTACATGCCACTGATAACCATTTAAGTTCTTTATTCGTTTTTTGATTTCCAAATTGAAATCAAGATTTGAAAAAAAGAATTTTTGAAAAGGTCACTTCTTTCTTATCATAAATCGTTGTATTGCATTTCTACAATCCGCACTTTGTAAACGTTGCATCAGCAAAAAAACTTCACGTTCATTTTGTGCGAGAAGCGCCTCACGATATATATTTCGAAGTAAATCCTTGTTATAGAATAATGATTCAAGTGGTAATTGCGATATCTTTCCTACATAAGTTTCTGCCTCTTCTCGAAAATGGAATGACGGCACTATGCGACATACCAGATTTCGCTCAAACGCTTCTTGGGCAGTCAATTTTTTACCAAAAATTAAGATTTCTGATGCCTAAAATAAAAAATACAAAATATATAATTTCCATTTAAATTATGTTTTTTTTGTGAAGCGAAAATCTGTGGTGCGCTAGAGTTCTTTGATAATAATATACCGCGTAATGAAATCAATTACTATTTACGTTGTAAAAGCTCTTGTTCACTATTTTATTAACATATTGCTTATATCATCGCTAACCTTGCTATGCCCCATTATCAATGGGAATGTGTACGACGAACAACCTTCCGGAGATTGTCCAAGTGATGTGAATGGTGTATTGAATGTTGCCTAAAAATTTGAAGTGTTTTCACCTGTAAATTTACCTAAATGATAAAGAAACCTGCTACTGAAATGAGAAAGGAAGTTAATTTTCAACATACCATATTAGAAGCAACAACCAGGTCAAATAGAGGAAGCACAGTAACAGCAATGCCAATTGCAGGACCGTTAATTAGTGCGATCAAGGTTTTCTTGTGATTAACGTAAGCGGCAACGTAAGAACTCAATATTTGGCCTACTTCAGAAATCATGCGTGGTGTACTTTCAGGACCGCTGAATTTGGTGAAGTTCGACAAGTCGTTACCACTACAGAAATACTGACCTGATCCTATCAACCATAACTTTTAGTTTTAGGGATCTTAGTGATTCGTAGGCTTTCGACAAAGACGTCGAATGAATATGACAAAAATACTTACCAATAAGCGCGGTAACTGTGGTGTTAGTTTCGTTTGCATAATTCAAAGCATTCGTGATACCGTCATACATCTAAATCTTGATTTTTATATTTGAAGTGAAGTCATTAACATCGATCATCTTTCTTTGTCTAATCAATCTTCCATGTCACGTGATATTATTCCATTATATTAAATGCTTCGCTGCATCTAATATGAACTCCTGTTAGTAGTTTAAGCTTCATCAACTCTGTAATCATCCATTCAAACAGTCAAAAATATGGAAATAATTGCGGATTATGCGAGGAAACTATCATTTCTTACCTCTAAAGTTAAAGCGTTGCATTTGCTTGGCCTATTAAGCTTTATCCATAAAATTTTATCTTTAATGGCGATATCAAGACCCAGTACAGGTTTCAGGCCGCAAATTGTTGAAGACGAAACTTCTGTCTCTTTTGCAGATAACTTGTTGACTAAATCAATGTACATCTTTTGTGCTTCATCCTGAACATATACAGTTTTGCATGTGGTAAAGTTGTAAACTCAGATATGAGAAGAAAGAATAGTTTAATTATTATTCAAAAAGAAATACCGTTGATTTCCCTTTAAATTCTCTCCAAGCATCATATTTTGCTTGTGAAGACGATAGCAATACAAGACGTTTGCTCTCAATGTCACCAATTGTTGCCTATAGGATGACATAGTTGTATAATTTTTATTGCTTTCAAGGAGGTAATATGCTATAAATGAGGGAATATTACTTGTTTGTAAAGCCCATAAAGTTTCAGTTTCGTTGATATATCTTGTTCTTCCGTCAATTGTTTTATCTTCTCGATGGCTTGTTGAAATTCTGTTCTCCAAGATTTCAGTCTATAACTCGAACACCATAGAAAAATTCATGAATTCAAGAAGAACGTGGGATGAAGAAGTGGAGGAAGAATTATTTATCAATTTTTCATAAAATATTCTATCGAGAATAGCCACTTCAAAAGTGCCAAACGCTGATTTTTTGAGCTAATTTCTTCTTTCAAAAATTCAATTAAGAAATTAGCTTAAAAAATATGAAACACAAATTTATTGTCTACGTTAAAGTTTTTTTTAATGTAAAGCATTAAAGTGACGATCCTCTTATTTTTACCGGGAGGGCTTTTTTAGCTCAAAAGTACATCATATTCCTTGCTCTCTTGACAACAATCACAGCACTAAGTAGAAAAATCGATTAAGAAGCAAATTCTCCTTCATCATTTTTTAAGTAACATTCAAATCACTAGGAATTTTTCAATCTAACAACCTAAGATTATTTCCAAATGCAATAGCTAATAAAAAATATTTGACCTGAGGAGATTCTACATTTGTAGAATATATTTCAAGAAGGACTGTATGAGATTTGCAGTTTTTTTAACGATTGATGAGACATAATTGATCACTTATTATCACGTATCTCGTAACCTAACGATGAATAACATAGACATGAAGCACTTCAAAGATACGTGAACTTTTTTAAAATATATCGAGAAATAAAAATAAAAAGCTTACCTGGAAAAGTCCTTAGCTATGAAGAGTTTCGATGATTGGAAGCGAAACAACAATGACAAAGCAAAATTCATATCAAAACAAATAGTAAACACTGTTCTACTGATCGCACCGCTGTTCAAAGTACTCATACAGTACGGTACAAAGATCATCATTTGTTGTGTAATATTATTGACAAAATGATGCTACAAGTACTGCCAGCCACTGATCACCCGATCCATCCGTGTGTTCCGTCGATAGATCATTATTAACAACATTCCTTAAAAATCTCCATTTAATCAAAGCTCATTGTTGTTGAAATGAATCCTTTTATCAAATCCACTTTTCCATTGTCCATTGTAATTAATGATTGGAGAATGTAATAGCCCAAAGAAAGCCAAGACCACCACATTTAGGATGGCTAAGGAAAATCATTTTCCTTTCGTGCTAGTATACGATACCATCTCTTCTGAATTTCTTTTATATGGTTAATTTTTTAATTAAATGATTTCGAATGTTTGAAGCTGATGATGCAATAAGAAGCGAAACGGTTGTGGAGATGGAAAATTATTCGATTTTTCAGTTCTAATAAAACATATTTGATTATTGAGCTTCATAAACAGAATATTTTAGGTAATAACTAATATCTCTTTTTAAAAATTTATCTAAATAACTTTCATTACAAATACATGTTAATACTCACAGCAGAGAATATTATGTTCAGATTAATTAGCACATATATTACATATATATGTTAAAGAGAAGGAAAGAAAATTCTATCTTACATAATCATGTAAATATATCTTCAGTATAGGACTTTAGAGTATGAAGGAATATAACGGGAGTAAAATCTTATCGTATAAAACAAACTTTATTTTAACAGAAACATATTCGCTTCACACGAAATCAAAAAACTTTTTCTTTCATAAATGCTATAAAACAGAAGCCGAAAAACTTACAATTGTATGAAAAACAGAATTTTTTTTCTGATTTTTATATATTCATTAAATATTCACAAAGTAACATAAAGAACAAAGTTTAGCAAGCAGATAATGAAATATAAAATAACAAAGTTTAATTTGACAATAAAACAACGTAAGAAATCTGACAAACTCGGATACTGAAATATTTTTACATGAAGTTTTGGCTTAAATTTAGTCTTAAATACATTCCAGTATTCTTACAAGTCTGATCCTTATCGTAAAAAAGCTATTAAAGCATTGCACAAAACCGAGGGAAGCTACCTGTAGAAGCGAACTTATGAAAGGCGAATGACAATTTCGGCAAAGTTCTCCTTTTGTTCGACTTTAATTTTTTGTTTTGCCAACAGTTCTAAAATTATTATTTTGCAAAGAAAAAATGTAAAAGAAAGCTTTCGATCTCTGATATTCTCTAATATTACTATTAAAAATAAACTCATAACAATGAAAATAAAATTCAGGTAAAGTTGTAACATATTTTCTTTAAAATTATATCATTAGTCATTCAGAATCATAAGCATTCAATTTAGCAATTACGCCACAAATTAAGCAAAAAAGCCACAGCTTATGAAAAAAAAACGCACCCAACAAATTCGTAAAAGCTTTAGCTGCAAACATGGCAGAGCGACCACGGATTAATTCAGAAAAATATAATGTTGAGACCTTGTAAAAATTGAGAAATTCAGTTATCAATCTGCAAAACAGTCAGAAAATATTACATAAAACTTCAAATTTATATTTATCAAACGTAGTTTTGAGTTTAAGAATGCAGTTTTAGGCATCTAATATAGTAACACTAAGGAATATGGGTGCAGTTAATTCTAGAGCCAAAAATCACATCGTAACTAGCCAAGTATAAAATGGAATTATTTAATCCAAACAGAACAATAGTTACCTGAAAGAAAAAAAGTCAACGTAAGTAATGTAATGAGCAAGTTTATAAATAATTCTTAAACTGTTACGTATTAACAATCAAGAGTATAAAACATACCCAAAAAGATCATGAGCTCTCTGTGTTTGATAGTATATTGAAACGGAACTACCACCTCTTTTTACCGTACTTTCTACTTTATCAACTTTTAATTGAAACCGGTCTTGCATTACCGAGATCTTCTGGACGTTTACCTCACTCTGAGAACCTTCTTGCCTCATTTCATGCACACAATATCTCTCATCTGTAACAAAAATGGTCTAGTTTTTTGAATACTACTAATTAAACTTTTATGCCATATTAATAATTGCAGCGTAGCATAAATCCGCAGCCGATAGATATAGTTTACTTCAATTATGGAAAAACATACCAACAAGAATATTTTCAGTGCTACTTTCCAATCTCGTCCCACATAATTCAGATTCTGCAAAATTGTGAAATGAAAAAAAAGATGACCACGTTTTTTCAAATTAATTTGTGGCTCATCAGATTTTGACACAGGAATCTACCACAGTCTTGTCATTAGTGATCATTTGCACAAAAACTTTGCTGTACTTACCAGCTGCCAAGTTTGAAAACAAGTCCGTGACTCGAGCTTTTTCTGCCGACAAAGTGAGGCTGTCATCCATGTGCTAAAAATTAAAAATAACACTATAAATAACAATATAAATTTGGATGAAATGTTGGGGATGAATGATGCTTATACTTAAATTGAATCAAAAATTAAATTTTGGTTGCTAGAAGATATTCATTATAAAGTCTTCTCTCTGTATTTCATTCCAGAAAGGATTTTTTTTCAGTATCTCTATAATTTATTAGTAGTGAAAGTGGCGGTCGTTGAGCACTGTAAGAATGCTATAGAATGTTTATTTCAAAAGCTGTGAGTATGCATAGAAGGAATTGTTGAAGACTTATTGGTGATGATGGTCAGAATTTACCAAAATCGTAGTACATCGATTAATCGGAATGGCTTGCTAGTTGTACATTTAATTATGTAACTAACAAAGAATATGATGAAAATGACTAGACTTGGAACATCGTAGTCAATAGCTATCACTTAGAAGCTTGCAAATTTTTTCTTTTTCTTTTCTTTAATTTCGAATTCATACCCCTTGTAGTGCATCCTCCTTAGTAATTCTTTCAAAAATGGTAGCTACAGATATCTTCACTTTCTCGTCAAATTGTCGACTTTCGCCAAAAGCAATTGGGTATGCTCCATCTGATCTAAGTTGTGATGAGGGGTCAGTGATATGCTGAAACTAACCTGTAATTGAAACGATTCATATGACAACACATGGAATCAGTAAATAAGAGAACTAGCAGAATATTCCAGTCTTTGAAACTATTTGAATATGATGACTAAAAAAATAACGCGAGCTTTCGAAATATTTTTGGCGTATTACAATTTTGTCTCCTCTTCCAAAGGATGCAATCACAAAAGTTAAATGAGAAAAGACTCACAGAATGTTCTGGCAAGAAATTATTAACTTATTTGACGAAAAGCATTGTATTCGATCTAAAAAACTGGTCCTTAAAATAGCGTCAACAATCAAAATTCAGACCCTATACGAAGTAAAGATAAAAATTGTATAATTAAGCATTGCTACATACTGTGCTACCAAATGGTGCAGTAGAAGTGGTGGTGTTTCTTCGTCCTCGCTCAATATCCTCCATGGGTGTAATAATCTGCCGTTCTAGATCTTGCAGCTTGGTTGTTACGGATTCATGAGATGTAGGTTCGATTGATGTCTCTCTTCCTACTAAAGAGTGATGCAATATTCGGATTGGTGGTGCCTGCATTGGTTCTAATTGCATTGCTTCTTCATATTGAAGTGGCGGTTCATCATATTCCGGTGCTGCTATCCAAGCATCCAAATTCGATAGAGGATTTTTTGAAAATTCTGCAAGAGATTCTCATAAATGGTTTCTGACTCTGAAGATTAGATGGCTCCTGCAAATTCTCATTAAAAAATCCTTCAGATTTATCTCCAAAATCTCATTTCATAACCACTCTGCAAGATTCGGATTTCATTTGCTTTTCAATTTTTTGCTTTTTATTACCGCTTAAAAATAAGACCTATAAAATTAAAGAGAGCCACATCGAACTAAAAACAACAATAAGAGACTCAAATTTTACCACGTAACGTCATTGGATGAGCGTCAAATAAATCTTGAACTGTTACCAGCCTGTGTTTTGATACTTGAGGAATCATTTCATCGCGTTTATGCAGCAAGTCATTACTGCTATCGATCTGCGCCTGGAGCTGCACCTAAAACATTTAAGAATTAGTCTAATTTGAAATAAACTTTTCAATTTTAATGAACAAAATCACAAACGTAGAAAATAATGCACCAGACCTTGCTAAATACAGTTATTTCATCAATTATAGTGCCATGTTTGCGGCGTCGTTTTTTTGGAACTAGCATCTGTGAATCGTGCACCTCACTTAATTCAAGTATCTGAAAAAAGTAATCGAGTTAATGAGCTTGGAATTCTGGAATGAAATTTGAAGAATTCACCACTGATATTTTGGTTCAAAAAAGTATCAGTTTATGTGACGTCAAAGTAATAGTTCGAAGTGAATGGTTTCCTATTTCAAAATGTGTAACGCCGTTTTTTTGCTCGCGATGGCAAGTGGAATTTTTGATAAAAGAATACAAAACTAGAACATCGGTAACTCTTAAATTAAATCATCGAACACAAAATGAAGCATATTTATAACATTAATTTACTGATAAATAAGTCGGATGCTTGATTTCTGATTCCCGTAGAGTTTCATCAGATCCCAAATCGTATTGTTTCTCCTTACGTATCTCGCTTTCATCGCTTACTTCCATCATTTCAAATACCTATTTTAAAAAAAATAATGATCCTGCATCATGAACAAGTCTTTCTTTCCATCAAAAACGAATAGGAAGAAAAAATTTTTAAGTATCCTTTTGTCACATCTGACCATCGCGATTTATTGACATAAACAACTTTTGCTTACATGTGTTGCTTTGTTAACATCAGCATCATTAGCCAACGCTTCAGGAATTATATTCACAATGTATTCTTTGGACCCATTTGTGCTTCCTGATTTGCTTTCAATAATATGTTCACTTTCTTCTTTCAGAAGAGCTTCCCTGATAAATAAATTGAAATTAATGGTTAATAAAAACTTACTGAACTATCTTACTGATTGCAGGCTTAAAGTGAAAACAATTACATCATAGAAAATTTTCGCCTTTTTTTAAGGAAAGTAATAACAATTAAATGACAGCTTAATTCTTATTTATTCTATTGGGTCTGGAATCTCAACTCTTAATTATGAATGATTTCACTGCAAATGAAACTTTCAACTAAGTGATTTATTACATCTGTAGAGCTTCGGCCGCTGTCAGTGGTCCAAAATCATCGTTAAACAAAGTGTCAATTTCCGGAAGTGGTATATCTTCATGCAACGTAATTGCACTGTAATCCAGCACAAATTTCAGATGTTCATTTTCCTTTAAAATATAAAATCATTTGAACACATTACGAAAGAATTGTTGGAGAAAACCATATATCTCATAATACAATAACAATGAACTGTTTTTCATCCCGAAAGATGAATGGATCGTTCTCCGAGGTAGGTGCGATACCACGTCGACCCGCGTAAAGAGAACTGGCTATTCCTATTACATTGATGCGATAATCACAGCATAGTGATAACGTTCAGCTTTAGTTCTCAACAGTCAGTGATGATCAAAAGAAATTTAAAAAATGAAATTCATACGATGGTCTCAAACGAAGAATCCAAAATAAGTAAATCGTTTCGTTTCACTGAGCGCTTCTTCCGATCCTTCTTGTCTTTCATGGATGACCTTTAACAGTTCGAAATTTGGTAAATTTGGTAAATTAAATATACTTCTACAAACAGATCTTCATATGAAAAAGGCAAAAAAAGTTGCTTTAATCATTTAAACCGATATCTTAAATATAAGGCTAAATATAAGGACTAAAAATAAGGATCTGATCAGAAATTAGTGGAACAGATGAACTTATTTGAAAGGAAAAAAAATACTCGTTTTCTTCTTCATCCTGATAACGGCGTATGATCGGAATAAATGTCTCTATGTCTCCTGAACTATAAATGTTTTAAAACCTTTGGCATTCATAAGATATGATTATTTCCTTTTATCCAAAAAAAAATAATATTTCCCGAAAATGAAATTTTATAAACTTACTGCACAGGATGTCACCCCGTTTTTGCACGATTAATGCAATGCCATAGGAAAGCTGAGCAAGCAAATAGAGAGAAAACTTGATTTCACCTGGGTTGCCATTCGGCATTTTTCCCAGTAAAAGTTGGCTGAAAAATCAGTTAATTATTGCCTATTATTACTGTTCCACAAAATTAAAAGAAACTGCTGAAGTTAGTCGAAAATTTTAGTTCTTCAAAATACGTATTTTCTCTTTTTTTATATAAAAATAATCACGGATGATATCGTCTCATGAGATAATTGTGCACATTATGAACTTGAAATATTTCGTAAAATTTCAGCATAAAATATCGATTTGCATAAAAAAAGATTACTACTGCATAGATGATTGACAAAAAAGATGGGAAATCATAAACTAACCAAGCCGCTTGCACATTTATCTCCAAAATAACCTTTCGAGATGGTCTCCATTTCTCATCAAATACAACTCGCCTGGAAACATAAAAAATTATTGATTCAAAAAAAAAATTTTTTTTCGAGAGAATTCTATAATCAAGTATTATATTGGGCGACTACTCCAAATTATAACTATAGATTTTGCAGTTTTGGAACTGAAGTTTACTTGTGGTTACCATCTGATGACATTGCCATACCCTGCCACATAGCACCTCAAAAATATGATTATCATAATAACCAACCAAATGACAGCCAATGGTTCATTTCTCTTCATCAATAAGGAAGGTATGAAGAACATTTTGACTATTACTCGAGATTTACAACGATTTATTCCAATCAATTTGGAGAATGTTCTTTCGTAGATCACTAATAATAACTATACCTATAAATTATTTTTGTAACCAATTCCATTTGCCAACACTCTAATCACTATGACAAGACATGATTTGGACACGAAGAAACGGTACAGCAAATGGTTAATAATAGGTCACACGCGTGTAATGTTTTTGTATATGAAACAATTCCATCTTACCATACAATAAATCAAAGCAACACAGCAATAATGGAAAATATTGCGAGTGTGTAGCAAAATTCTTTGTTGAAGAATTATTTTGGATTACGGTAGCTTTGTAGAACAGAGAGCGAAAGGAAGAAAAAGGAATAGAACTTGTTAGAAATACTGATTAGTGAATATCATTGAAATTAAGCGACATATGATGAAATTAAAGATCAAACAAGAGTATAGTTTGGAAAGAAGCAAGATGAAGTTGAAGTTGATTTTTAACTTCACAGTTTATCTTTTCCAACCGATTCTATTGCACGTTATGGTTATGAGCACGAATAGTTGATATCACAAAATCAGATAAATACTTATATAATCCATCCTTAATAATAAATTTGTTTTTATTTTTGTAGAATTTGTAAAAAAATTTCTGTTTCTTCGTAAATTATTAAAAGATATATAAATATAAATTTTGAAGATTCTAAAAAAAATCAACTTTAGCAATAATCGATTTTGGAAAAATTGCGGTGAATTTAAAAATTTGAAGAGAGCTAAATCAGAGCAAGCTAAATGAGAGAAAGAAATCGGAAGAGAAACATTATCGCCTCAACAATTCTTCCCAAAAAACACGTAGTCATTCAGAAATCAATGAATAATATTGATTGCATTTGTCTCATCATCCCTATCTTTTCCTAATCTATCCTCTATGATCCCTAGAGGCTTTTCAGAATAATTGAAACTCTTAAGATTCAGATCATACCTTACCACCGCTTGTAATGCGGATAGAGCGAAAAGTTACTGTAATGTATGAAGACGAAAGAAAGTCATATGACCTTTAGCCAAGTCTCTTCCCATCCAATTATGAGCCGTCGTACTGTATCCATGTTGCTGGTCAGCATACATTTGCTTCAGACTTACATGATCTCCAATCAACAATATCCTAATTAATTAGCAAAATCTATTGCTAAAGTGTCCTTATGACTTAGTCCTGATGATTTTCATGCATAAGAATGGTCCTTTGATTATGTTGCTATATCGGATTAATAAAATCGAGTAAAGTGAACTAACAGCCAGGATAATCTAAAATCTTACGAGGCATTCCTTGCATTCCAGCAAAACTTAAAACAATTAAAAATTATAGGAAAAGAAAAAAAACTAATAATCCATCAAAAAGTAAAAATAGAGGTAGCTCTGATGGAATATTTTTGGATAAATATATTCAGCATCAGCATAGACGTAGACAGATTGTTCGGTTATACTTTTTCGGATCTTTTAATAGTAGATACGGAACTAAGGCCGGTTCACGGACGCCTCAAATAGTACTGTGATATGACTTTAATTATAATCAATAGCAACATATCACAGATCAATTCAGGCGGTCGAAAATCCAGCATGCGAGGAGGATCAATCGGAGAGGGTAATGAATGAGAAATCCAGAATTAGCCTCATAAGGAATGGAAAGTATAAACATAACATAACTTTGAACAGCAGATATCATCCACAGCCGTCCATCGGTAAATTTCTTCTCCATTTTTCGCAAATGTCGCGACGGATCAGTCTTCACTGAACGTGCAATCTCAGAAAAATATTTTCTACTAACAATAAATCCAATGGTTGGCACGTATTCTAATAAAATGAACGCATAATTTTTAGGAAAGGGATAGGGAGAGAGAGAAGGGGAGAAAAAGAGAGAAAAAGTAGTACGAGATTATTTCAAATTGGGCGATAATTTACTTCATCCGTTCCATCAAAGGACGAATTTCGAGAGGTGTACTGTAACAGCACTACGGTTGAATCACTCACCACTTCCCGATGAACAAACCAAGGTATCCTGAGAATGGATAACTAAGTTAAAGTAATCTGGTGCGAAGATCAGAATCAGGCACGTTACGATCTATATATTTCAGGTATATACAAAACCCAAAACAAAAATTATTTCAGATATATAAGACCCAAAACCAAAATGTAATAGGTGAGACATTCTAAAAATAAATTTTGCTTAACGATGCTAAAGATTAAAAATTCCGTCCGGACGGATTAGTGGTTAATTTTTCCGAATACTTTTGTCGCTCCTGGGAATTACTCGTCATACTTTTTGGACGGGCAAGTTTCATTCACGAAACCTGTAGTGCAGTTAGACTCGGAAAGGATAATAGCAATAAATAGTGGGATGATGAATTTCACATCAGCTCAGTGGAAGTATCATACAGGCAATGGAGGTTTGGGAGTTGATTCGAGAGGTTGTTCGGTTCTCTGCAAGCTTGACTATGATTTGGCTCTTATTATATAATAGAAGGTCCAAAGTGCTATAATTAATCGCAACAGTTCTTTCAGCAATACTTCCAAACGTTAAATAACTATTAAAAAACACTTCGAAACGAGAATGCTTGATAGAAACTGTCATCCTGAAGTAGAATATCTAGCTCTGAAATTATTTTTAATTTAAGTGAATCTCCCGATAAGATGACATCGTTGGAAAAACAACTGAACCATCTACGAACGGCAGTTAGTGGACAACTTGAAGTGGAGCGACCACACGTGTCACTGCTTTTTGATAAGAAAGATGCAGGCTCGTTATATGTGGAAAATGCATTGCAAATTGGTCAGTTATTTGTCGCATATTTTTCCGAAGATTTCAATTTGAACTGGCTGTAACCTGTAAAAAATTTGGTCACTTCTCTACTTGTAGGCTGTTTTCTCTTTGAACTCATGATATCATCCTCAAAAACGTTGAATACCGACTGCTTAAGCGATCTATTGATATAGCGCTATCACCAGTAGCTTAGACACTTGGTATTAATTGATCAATATGAAGAAACGTTCTTCACAGTTCCCTGAAACTTGCCACATTACTTGCTGTCATGTTTCAACATTATCCAAACACGGGGTGCTATTTCATTCAGATAGAATTCTTTGCAGTCAATAATCCAGTCATTTTAAAAAAATTTTTTGTTTTCAGAGATATAACCTTTTTCTGTTTATGAATAATTACAGGGCGTGCTGGGCTAACAGAACTGAGGAAAGTTGATCCGGAAATAGCTGTTAAGGAAGAGGATTTATTTGATGATGCGGCGGTTAATGTGCAACGTGCACTTCTGACAAAAGAAGAGAATGCATTACTTAATGAGAAACTTGAACGACTGATTATACAGCTTTCTGCTTACCTGCATCATCTGTCAGCGAAGCAAATCCTGGAATGGTTGATATTTCAGTTTCATGTAAGCTTTGTTTTTCTTTCATGGCATAAATTAGTAGACATCGTATACTGCTTAATAATTATCGAAAATTTAAAGCATTTAATTGCTAAAAGTTCGATGCACGTTAATTAAAACTAGAATTCCTTGCAGAATAGGTTTTTATAAATTATAACAGATTAAACTAGAAATTTCCTTGCAAAATAGGTTTTTTTTTTTTATAAATTAGAATACATTAAAGTTGTCTCGAAAGATATTATACAAAACTTGAAAATCAAGAAGTTTTTTATCACTAAAATTCTTGATATTTAATGATGCTTGTACAAAGCCTATATAAATGCAAGCAAAAGTTTCGTTTATATTCAGTTATCTAAGGTCATTCAACAGATATTGACGATGAAGACTTCTTCACGATGTACTTATGTCTCATTTTTACGCACTTTATTTTGCAAAGTTCATTTTGAATTTAAGGTGCAAAGTTTCAATGCCGAAACTTTATTTATTGTATTCTTACCATATCACAATTCGAATATATTTGGACGATTGCTATCAATACTTGATTTAAAAGGATTGGAATATGAGTGGGTCAAAGAACACGCTAACTTAGAAGCACCTATCCCAATGACAAAATTGGTCTTTATTTGTGCTTCAAGAAATCACTCATTACTCACTCTTATACACAACCATATTGAACGTGTCAGAGAGGTTAGATTTTAATTTTTTCTGTACAATTGTTATGAACAGTTTATGCATCTCATTTTCACATCTTCACTGTTTCCGATTGAATCGTTTGTGATTTCATAGTTTGAATGGTTTCGGGATGAATGAAATGAATCGATAGCGAAGTTACTTGAAAGATCTGTGTTGAAGAGTGGTATAGGTGTAATTTACTTAAAATGAGAGGATTGTCATGTCTAAATAGATAGTAGTTAAATAATCTCGTTTAATTTGCTTCGGATAGTCATCCTGAAATGCGTCTGTTACACCACTGAAATAACTTCGTCAGAAGTCTTTGTATCAGCAGCTGGCTTTTATAGTGGAACTCTTTATGGTTAGAAATAAACCAATCAGTAAAAAGTTTTGAGATCCCATGAAAATTATAAGATTATTTTATGAAGCAATTTAGTGGTGTTTAGTAAATGATCCATACTATTTGTATTTTTTCAGTTATTTAGTGCGAAATTTGTGGAAACTAAATTACCGCATTTGTTCACCTTTTTTGCTTCAATTTCTGTGCATCTTTTGGCAAAATCTGATGTAACGCATGCTTTAGTTTCGAAAATGTTGCCTTTCTTGGCCAGGGACTTAACGTGGGTTTCATATTTTGCTTTCTTGTTAACGAAGTTTTAATATTTTTTGCAGTAAATGAACATTATTTATTACTCACGTAATTTATTTCCGTAAAATCTTACGTTATCATATGGATCAGATAGCTCTTCATAGCATTCAATGGATTTTCAGGTTACACCCATATTTGTGAAAAAAATGAACTATTTTTAGATCAGATTTAATTTCCCTGCGATTGGCATGTCTTACTGTAATAAGCCAGCTTTGCATAAATGTTAAGTTAATCTCCAACAAGCTCTTTCCAATGATTAAGCTTATTTTGCTAAAAATGGACAGTTATACCATGAAGGAATCAATTGACACCTTGGTAGTCATTTACCAGCGCCAAGAAATATCCAGTTTTCCACTGAAGTAAGATTGTCTTTTCATTGTTTCAGTGACATTACAGTCGAGACAGCATAGGTTTCTAGTGCAATACTTTAGCAGTTGATTCAGTATGTTGGGATGCCAGAAATATTCTGTGTATTTCATAGACTGCTTATTAATCTTCCTCACTATCTTGTTAAAGTAAGATTCCTTTCCCATTTTTCGAAAGTGCTGTTGATGTTGTACATTCAATAAAGGTCACTCAAGGCCACCCAAGCTTAATTATTTTACTTATGTTTTTAATTGCAGCAACTAATTATTTTGCTCCTTGCTGTTTGATTTTTGAATATGTGCATATGTCAGATCTTTGACTCTTCTTAGAACGAAAATTTTTTCGACTTTCAGATTGAAGATCGCTTTGAAAATTGCTAGGAAGGATGAATGTCTGCACATTTCCAAATATATCAAGTCTTTATTCTCTGTTACGGATATGCTACAATTCATTGGAGCATTTGTGCATACTTTTATTCCACTGCTGTCAAAATGCGGTAATTTTCTACTATTGTTTAGTCATCGTTTCATTTTATTAGCTCTTCATCTTGAAAACTGTGTAGTTGCCTATAGTTGCATAACCACATATTTTTCAAAGGCAGAGTTATTGAACAATAGAAATGAAATTGTGAAGATTTTTTTCATATTTAGGAAATAATGTAAGTTTTGACTTCTGTTTTTTATTATTTATAGATAAGGAAGAAAAATTGATGGAATTATGCAATTTCTGCATCAACTGCTTGGATTTAACAGTGCTGAATGATCGTATATCAGAAACAATCCTGGGTTTGGTATTGGAGTTACTGTCAGAAATGAATGATGCTGAGAAAATGCCGAATATTTTTTACAAACATATACGTGCCTTGATATTTAGGTTTGCTTTTTTTGTAGATGAGAAATATGAGGATTTTGTTATTGATGCTTAGCGTTATATTTTATGGATCCAAATTTGACATTCTTTTCAATATTTTTCTCTAATTTATTGAAATTCAGGTGTAAGTTTGAAATTTACGCATCAGTGCAGCATTACCATTCATCAAAAAATGATTTAGTTTGAGAGGCAATCTCTGAAATTTAGTCAAAAAATGAACAAGACCTGATTATAAAGTGAATTTATGTCAGCATAATTAATCGTCGTGCTTGAAACTCATTGTACGAAGTTATGATATCGATAGGGAATAGTTGCTTTAAACTGGGTCAGCGATATTTTTTCATGCCGTTGAGTTTCAGGACACATAAATGTCAGGTTTCAAAATGCATAAATGCACTCTGACATAAGTTTCAAAGGCTTTTTTTCAATACTAATGTGCAGCGCAGAAGTGAAGATTTAATTTGCTCATAAATTCATTTCAGCCCAACAGTAACAATACAACAGTTGTCTCTCATTTTTTTCAAATAGTACCATTCTAGATTTCCGAATGCTTTTGCAACAGTCGGCTCGGAGTGGAAAGTACGCGATAAGAATGTTCACAACATGTTGCTGAAAGCCTGTAAATTTGAACAGCATGAGGTGTTATCTTTTGTTTTTTTGGCAGCTATGTATTTCATTTGTCTTATTTCTGTCACTCTAATTTCTTTCTCTTTCTTATTTCGGGATTATTAATTAACCGATTCGTGTAAAGATATTTTATTATTCATATATTTATCACTTCGAAATTTATTGAGTGAGGTTGTAATTTACATGTTGTTTAAAAACATGTTATTTAGATTGAAACTTTTGAAGTGGTTACAGTGAAGAAAAAAAAGCGTCGTCGGCGTCATAGCAGCACTAAAAGTAGTACAGATGAAGGAGGGAGTCAATCCTCATCTCATGTTTCCAAGCCTGCATTGAAAAGAAAACGTCCAGAAGAAATTAAGGTAATAAGTAGACATTTATGTTCACTTTCTGTGGTTATTACTTATCATGAACTAGATATGCTGAGTATAGGATTTTACCAGTAAGCACTTGTTTAATGGTAGTGGTTTTCAGCAGGAACAGCTGAATTCAGTTCGCGAATCATGCAAAATCACATTCAAAGGTGATCCGCTAGAGAAGTTGATTGATACAATTAAAGCTGAAGACTGGTCGCTTGCAGAAGCAGGTCTGGAAGTAGGTGTTTTTTGTCTCCTTGTAACTAATGTCATTTTTGAAATTTCTGGATGACGATACTACTGTTTTAGAAGTTCAATACAGTTGGACATAGGAATATAAGTTAGGATTTTCTGACAATTAATTCATGAAGTTGAAAAAAGTCATACTTTCGGTCAGTGAATCTAGAATCTGTCTACCTCATTATCTGAATTGCGCGTTACTGGCAAATCTTTATTGCTCTGGCTGACTGCTATCATCTTCATTGATACCTTAGCGGTTCAGTAACGAATCCATTTGTACATTACGTAATTTAAATTTCAAGTCTTTTAGTTTAAGTGCACTCAGTGTATGATGGTTTTTTATCCCTGCTCAGAGTGTTATGTGAGAATACTTGGAAGAGAAACTTTGACTACCGTTTTTTTGCAATCTAAATTTTTATTTTAGGAATTAATTAAGCCTTCTTATTTGAAAAACCGGATAGCATCTGAATTTGAAATGTTTTTCTCGGAAATGGTTGCTATTGCGCTCGCAGAAGGATCTCATCTGAAAACTGCAGTAAAAAATGCTTTATCACAAGTAGGTTCATTATCTTATTCAAATTTCAAAATGAAAATGTTAGATTAATTCGGGTTTGCGAAAGTTAGAAATGTTTTCTGAGAGCTCCTGTTTGACCTTACTAAAATTCTGGCAGTTTTCCTTGATAAATTGTTTATCACGAGGTAATGATGTTTTTGTCGTAGAAAAGTGACTTTCTATTTTTGCTAGTTTTCAATTTTTTCCAGCTACCGGTGGATACTGATTTTGCGCTTTCCTTATTGAAACCTTATACTGGATCGAGGAATGTCAGACAAAGTGATATGTGTCACTGGTCTTGCTTTAAAGATGAAGGTACCGGCAAGTTTGAAACCAGGCGCCTATTTGTACTGGAATTACTGCTTATCAATCGCACTCTTCAAGCATCGGCTAAACTGTTCCATCAACTTTATGAGATTTTAAAGGAGTGAGTCGGGTTTTCACAAAATTTGGATTTTTTTTTTCGAAAATACTTAGGACACTTGATGGTAAATATCGGTTGCCATTTTCTGAAGAGTGATTTGTGGGCAGTGTCAGGCGCTCATTTCGTCTCAACTTCATTTTGGATAACTGGAATACTTTTTTTGGAATAATTGCAAAATATATATTTATCAAAAACTGGTGATAAAAATGATGTAAGCAGTCGGCCGGTTTTTTGCTGAAAAAAGTTGTTTTCATAGAGTTATGCAGAAAGATGATGAAGACAGTCAGTATTTGGAGCAGCTGATTATCAATTTCATCGTATGCTTAGTTAAAAATCCTCGTCAGTTTGCATTTATTTTTTATTTGTAAATATGTTGATAACATGTATCGAAATACAACAAGCGTGTAAATAGCATTTCAAAGTGAGCAATGCTCTAACTATAACTTTACCGGAAAATGTACTGTGCAGGATTGTTTAAAACTCCTGGCGATCCTCTCAACTATTTTATTTTCATTTAACTCTGTAATTGTAGGTGGTTATGAAGTCTTGGCGGATGATTTGCAACTAGATACAATTGTTGATATTGTTCGCCATACTCAAAATCATCGAATTCTTCGGGATTGCCTACAATTGCTGACGTGTGCTGTGACTGTTTCGCCAGTAGGCTTTCAAAATTCTGTACGAAAATCTCGAAAGTTGAAGATCATAGAAGATAATATTGGAAAATAAATTGTTAGGAGATTTTGGCTAAATTGTTTTTTATTTTATAGAAAAAGGTATTGGCGCATCTGATGTCTGTTTATACGTTTATGGGTGATGGAGTGCTAAAGAAGGATAACGATTTAACTCTAAGTGTAATTGAGGAAACGTTGAATGTGTTATTTTCGACTGTTATGAGCGAAAAGGTTGTGCTGATAAATCATTGAACCTAAAGTTTAATAATTTTGAATTCGAATTTTTTATTTTATAAGTACAATATAAAAAACTTTTCCAATAAAAACTTAAGTTGGCTTGAAAATTCGCGTATAATCCTGTCGTCGTATGTCGAGTTATTTTGAAAACTGTGGAGATTTAATCTCTTTACTACGGGAATTGTTTCTAGGACCAATCGTTTTACGAACAACTGGTGACAACTTCCCGGCTATTTGCAGCGTCGATTACTGACATTCCAGCGCATCGACGTGATAAAATTTTACGTGCTGTATCTCGATCTGCGGGAACGCACCATCTTTGGGCAGTGATCGCTATTCTTTTTGAGCGGTATTGCTTAAATTGGTCGAGAAAGTCAGAAGGTTTGTTACAGTATGTGTGTTGATATGATAGGAAAGGACATTCTTATATTCTATGTTAAAGAATTGCAAGCATCTGAAATGAAAGAAAGTGACATACTTGACATTTTATTTTGGGTGTTATCAGACTTTTATGCTATTCAGTCTCCCACTCTACTATTTTTTTCATTTTCCAATTAATAGGTTATAATGGACAGTTTTCAGGCCGAACATCAACTGAATTATATGAAGAGATGTCAGCTATTATGGTGTCGGAGTACGACGCTGTGGAACAGCTTTTATGTACTGCAAATATGATAAAACATATTATCAAGTTGGGAGGTGATTTTTCAGTTTGCGAAAGCCCAATTACAACCGTTAGTCAGAAGGAGAAATTTTTGTCAAGAATATTCGATCGAACGAAACATTCGGTGCAAAAATTACGGCACTATCGTTTTGCCATATTGGGTTGGATTGCTAGGCTTTTAGAAAGTGACGAATTTAAAACAAAGGTAATAATCTCTCATTTTGGTACTATTTTTTCCTTTTTTGAATAAATTATTTCTTAAGCTATTTTATGTGAAACATTAAAGACTTTCGCAAATCAATAGAGTCTACTGCTCTTATTCTTCAAAATGAGGTGATTGAAAGTTTCTGATTTTCAGTTTCGGTTGGTAGCCGTCGATAATATTTCGTATGATAGGCTACTTGAAACTGCGAAAGTTCTTTTATTTTGTTCCGTTGAACTTGATGATTTTGTCACTACGGAAGCATCAGATGCTGAAAAACGTAATGTTCAAGCAAATTCAGGCCAACGGATTGCAAACAATTGCAAATATTGGATTGCAGTCTCATCACGTGCGGATATCGTCATCGAAAAGGTTGATTCAGGCATAATGAACTCAATTTATGTAAATAAATGAAAAAAAATCCGACTTTCAGTACCGTGGGATTACAAAGAACTTTTAAAGTGGGCGATTTTTATATCTCTAGAGCTTAAAAATCTCATTTCAGTATCAAAATTTATTGCCAAGTAATGTTTGCGGGCATATTGTGGTGGATGTTCTGGAACAAACTGCAACTATGCCAAAATTGAGGGATCGAGCACTACAATTCCTGAATGCTAAACTGCTGCAAGATGGTTCATATATATGTAGCGTGAAAATGGATCATTTAAATAGCTTGATTAGAAAATTTAACTGTTGGCTAAAACCGGCTGAAAAGGGATTTGATGTAAGTTTATAGGAATTTGAGAATTTGATATCATGGTTTAAATCATTATTTATCTTGCCTCATGGGCACTAGTACTTTCAACTCTCTATTGTAATGATGGTAGTTTTAAAGAAATAAAATGAATGGATTCCACAATTATAGTGCCAATTATATTTAGGTTGATTTGTGCCAGAAGGCAGCTCATACACTGAAACTGGTGGCACGTAATATGACACCATCAACAGGTTTCATGTTGTTATCTGAAACGCTAGAATTAACTGCGAAATTGGTAAAGTGCCATTTTATATTACATGTTGTCAAAGATTTTTCTATGTCATTATGTTTTGGAAAATTGGGAGATTGCTCAGTAGTTCAGATAAAAATCTGAAATCTTTTGAGTGCATAGAATTAAGCTCTAAATTTACTTGGGCTATTTTTTTAAGCTTTAATATATTTTTTCTTTACTTCTTTGAATCATTTTCTGTTCTTAACATATATTTGCAGCTCACTAATCGGAGCAAATACGATGAAACTTTGACGGGTAGCTTGCTATTGTTGGCTGGTGAATTAATGCGCTTTCAACGCGTAAAAAATTCCATTCTATATTCAAATACCTTGACGGCAGTTTGCACTGAAATCCTTTCAACCGTACTTGAAGCACAAACTGTAATCAGAACTAGCAGTAATCAGCAGACTAATCTGTCAAAAGACGGCGTTTTGTGGGGGCGAAGACGTCGCACTCAACAATCAATGAGTGGTCGGTATGTGAGTAAGTTACAGTTTTGATTAGAATTTAAAGATTGATTTTAAATGTAAACTGAAATTGGAAAGAGGAACAAATGGAAAAATCAAGCACAAATTTTATGTTTCATTTTTCTTTTGTTGTACTTTTTTGTTGATTTTGTCGAAAAGGTATTTTCCACATTTACGTTTATTTAAAAATTCAGCTTTCGAAATGCTACACTTTAAAATTTGCAGCGAGCAGCGATGCATTACTGATTTGTTCGCTGATTTGTTTACAACGGATTTTAGAAAATTTTGCCGAGTTTATTTTTAAACATCTATCACCTATTCTTATTATTATTTCACGATTATGTCGCACGTGTGATTACATACCTTCAGTAGTAAGTTTCAAGCTGTTAATGGTCTTGAAATTAACATGTATTCATGGACTGAGTCGTGTGGCATTCGCAGAATTCTGCATTGTTGATAAATGGCGAAAATATTTTTAAAATCAGCTTTCTAATTTGAATTTGGAGTGAAGTCTAAACAAAACTGATCTGTAGATGGATTAAAATGTCACATATAGGTTAGAGAATTGCAAAATTTTTCCGCATCCATCTGTAATGATGGATCTCGAAATTTTTTTTCTTTGACTGAAGTACAATAACCGACAACAGATTTTTTAACTAAGGAACTACTCGCACATTCATTCTAAGATCTTTGGCCAGAATTACATGTGGTTACTTTAGCAATTAAAAAAAAGGAGGTAGAAACGAATATTTTATCGGTGAATATTTAGGATGACTCAGTTTTCGTTCAATCTTTAGCATTAACATGTTTTCTCATAGCGAACAAGGGAGAAATATCTTGCATTATGGAATTTATAGTAATTTGACTGTGAAAGAGAACAAAGATGGTTCAGATAATACAAATAGGAATTAGAGAAATGGAAGATATCAAGCAAAGTTATTTATTTACTTTTTATCATTCTTCTTTATGCGCCAGTATGAGTGCTCTGGGAGAAAGATGTTTCATATGAATTTATTTTTCAGAACTGTTCCGCTCAACAGATGCAGCTATCGAATAAATTTTCAGCTGTTCACCAACGAATTTCCTGCATATGTCGCTCATTATCAAAAATGGAGCTAAGAATTGTTTTAGATGCTTTTGATGAAGCCTGCAATACTTTGATAATTGAACCGGCAAGCTTCTTTTTTAACCCAAGATCTAATATTTTATTCAATTTGAAGGTTTATAGAACACAATCTAGTGATTGTTGAAATGAAGATTAGTATTTGCCCGTTGAACACCTCGGTGTTGATTGAACCATTGCAAAAATAGTTAAGAAAATTTTAAGCTCATTCACTTCATTCTACAGCCATGTTCATTTTTTATCTTTCCTGCTTTCTTTACTTGTTATCCCTTTCCTATCATGGAGCACTTTAACTGAAGTCTATTTCAATAAACACCTCTCAAATGTCTTAGCAAAGTTTATAGTTATTGAATAGGTTTTCGTATAATTCTTGCAGGAACATAGTGTGCTGAAATAGTTATACTTGAGGTTGAAATTAGAACCATGAAATTAAATTTAAAAAATGTTGAATGTGGAATATTGAAAAAACTGTAATGATGTTTTCCGACTTTACTTTTTTTTGTTATATTTTTAGACAGCTGTGGGTATACTTTTCAAAATGTTTTCGTCAATTAATGACATCAAAAATAGAGAAATATTGCTAAAATTCGTCGTTCGTGTATGCGATCTTTATTTCCATGGTCTTGACGTGCGCTCAAGTAATGCGAAATTAGAGGTAAGTTATTAGGAGTTACAAATAACAGGATAATTTCGAATAGCGAATTATTGTTTTTTCATCTTTTAAAACGCAGCAATTTCCTGTGAAAAGAAGTAAAAATTTTTGTTTTGCAGGAAAATGATGCCATCGATAATGCTGAATTGATGATTATTGATAGCTTTTTGGAAGTTATTGATAATTTATCTGAAAACGAATTCCGGACGGTGGTCAAATCTATCCACATGCGTTTGCAAGAAGCTATATTCCCGAAAGCCAAAATAGAAGTGCGATATCGTTCGATTACAATATTTAAGTTTTTAAATCGGTAGGTTATTTCTTGAAATATTTTAAAGAGAAAATAGTTGAGTTTCGAATAATTTCTTTAGTTTGTTAGCTTTATTGAATTTTGTTTGATGGTTGTACCGCTATTGTTTACTACAACAATAAGTGGCAATAGTCATTTCGCTAGTGGAACTTTTTTGGTCTTTTCGCCTACTGCAATTCAAATTATTTATTAAATCTTGAGTGTAATAACATATGCTTTTGCTCAGTGCATTTTCGATTTTATATGTTATTGCAGCTTCTACGAGTCATATAAAAATATATCATTACCACATTTTGGTCGATTTTTTGCTCTCTTGCCGGATATCTTTTCGCGGTGCAATTCTCACATTGCAGGTATTACTTTTTCTCTTATATACATTACTGCTTCAAATTTCGAACCTTAGAATTCTAAGCAAAACATTTGTTTGCAGATTCTTATTCCCTGATATTCTATGATGGCGAAGATTTAGCAAATTCTGTCGCTGTTTCAATGGGTCATTTGTTGACCGTTATGATAGACTTTGTTAAAAACTGTGCCCTTCATCCATCATTCTTTACTTCGTTAGTTTTAATCAGCTTTTATTTTCCTTTTAAACTTTTTCAAGTTTCTTGCGTGTAACCTAAAAGTATTTTCCTGTTGATTTTTCTCTGAATAAAATTGTAGGCATAGTTTTTGGTTTTTACCAAATCAAATTTTATTAGAATTTTCAGAGAACGAGCAAGAACTGTGCTGGATTTCTTGGTAGATGAATTAGAAAATAAAGATGTACCGGGACATGAACTTCGTTGCGTGCCTCATCTAGCTGAATGCTTCTATAATATTATTGATTGCCAAAATGAAGTTCTAATGGATACAATCAATAAAATCATGTTGAAAACGCGTAGCCAAAGTTCGAAGGTACTTTTTAGCAAAAAGGAAGCAATGAATCACGTGTTTCCCTGAAATATGTTGCATTAGATCTTCAAGCATTGGATGCTAGAATTAACGATCCATAGAAGGGGAAAGAGGGGATTAGTAAAAACCGAAATTTCGCATATTTTTCCTAGTTCTAATTTACTTAAGATGCATGCGTGCATTATGACACGACTTTATCAAAACCATTTCCTAATTGCAATAAAATTCGAAGGTTCGGTATATCGTTTTAACTAGAATGAGTGAAGTGCGTCATTTAGGTCCGTTACCGCACTTTGTTGGTTCTGAAATGGTTGTTCGAGCGCATGGGTGATGCTGTTGCACCAACATTACCATCGGTGCTACCATTCTTAAGCGAACTTCTTGAAGGTATGTTTTATTAGTTTACAAAAAAGCATTTAACGGTGGGGAAGCGGAATTACATACTTGATTACTTCTTTCATGGATGGGTGTGCAATGTTGAATGATCTCATTTTTGCCACTGATTGTTCTTTCTGTTATTCACGTTGTATATTATTTCGTTTTCAGATGATAATAGAAAAGTTGAAATGCAGTGTGATGCAGTAATTGGCGTTTTGCGAAAGAATTTCGGGGAGAGAATCACGGAGGGATATACTTAATTCCTTAAATTATATACTGATATATTATCCTTGTTTATGCTTTATTGGTAATTATGATGTCTGCAACGCCAAAACTATAAGCCAGAATACTTTTAAATTTACTGTCGAAATACTCTTCAGCTCTCTCCGTTTTCGAATTCATATACCACTGAAAATTCAGAGAGAAGACACTGCTGACTGCCCCATTTCCTTATTTCTATGCCTTCGCTGTATAAATGTTGCTTTAGTTTGAGCTTGTTAAGTTCTGAAGCCGAGATCATTAAAGCTGCTGGAATTTAAATTTAATTCCTTTTTTAGCCTAATTCCACCACTATGTGCCCTATCCATTGCTGCAGCGAAAATTTTAAACATTTAGGAAAACTGCAGCATATCGATAGGATCGCAAAGTTTATCAACAATCTTGAATAATAATAAATGATTTCGCCAGCCAGTGAGAAATTTGAACTTTAATGGAAGAATAGACAAGCTATAATAAAAGCTTTCCGAAAATGAAACAATGTCAAGGCGAGGTGCAAACCTGACAGAGTTTTTGTCGCCTGTTGTAAAAAGTCGATTGTATCTACCGAATAAATGTGGCTTAGTGCAGGGTAGCCCATAGCATATGATATGATTTAACAAAACGAAGTAATATTATTATTAATATTAAAATGGACGAAAATAGGAAATATAGTGTACACACATATTAATATAGTGTACACACATACCTGGGAATTGAAACAATGTGAGAACCTTCACTCTTCCGGAGCGGAAAGGATATAATCAACGCTAAACCCGGGAATCTTTGGTGAAATCAACTTCATATCAAGGCGAATACGTTGGACATCAGTCTTATCCAGCGAAAGCTTTACCGTGATGTGTTGGAAAGTCTTTATTTCTACACCTTCTGCTACTAGCGAATCGTCGGTTACTTGATAATTTGATCCGCTCGGGAAAACGACGATTGATTCGAAGCCATAAGCTGGCACAAATACCTGCATAAAATCTTATGAAAATGTAAAACTTGACCATAATCTAAGATGTAAGTAAATGGGATGGATTGAATGCCATTTAGGAAAAACATCTGAATTGAAAGACTCGGAATTAAAAAAGTAAATCCTGCAGATATCATTAGTCACCTGAATACCGTTTTTCCGGATTCCCATCACAAAACCATCATGTAATTCGGTGCGATCCTTGAAGTAAAGCAATGTATTGAGCAAAACCGATGCTCTACCTGCATATTGTGCTTGCTTATGTCTGAAAGAAACGAAAAATTCATGCATCAAATATTGGAGGAAATATATAATTTGGCAAAAACAAATGCAATTTGATTTTCCATGCTATTTTGCTAAGCCTACATTCATGGGCTACAATATCTTTGCTTGTGCTCACTCTAATTGCATAAGCATATGTCGAATACTTTTTGAACAAATCGGTTTTAGAAAATAAAGATTTCACTGCTAACCTGTAATTGAGGTTGTTTGCAATTTTGGTCACTAAATCACCTTTTAACATTTCGGGAAAAGTGGAATCAGCACAGATTGAAGCAGAAAGCAGCCGATGAACCATTATATCTGCATATCTTCGAATTGGTGATGTGAAATGGGTATAGATTGGAGCAGCAAGTCCAAAGTGAACGTACTGCTCGGTTGGCAACGATCCTAGAATAAATTGTATCATATATTGGAATAATAAAATAACAAAATTCACAGATATCAATCTTCGGCATCTGCCGTGCCTTAAGATATAAAAAAAATGAGTGATGACAAAGATCTGAGACAACTTTTTTAGACATTTGATAAAAAATTGAAAGAAATTTGTCAAAACTAATTTAAGAAAGAATTGCGTAGCTGCTGCCGGTCTTATGTGATGGAACTGAATAAACGGTAATCTAACTTGAAAAGAATCATCGTGAAAGATTTAAGAAAAAAAAACCTGATGAAAAATATACAGCTTGAGTCATACAACGTGTGGTCAACATTCGAAGAAGTGTATTCAACATTGCATTATTCGGATCCACAGCTTTATCCAAACTTTCCGAAAGCGCTTTTCCACTTTCAACGTTCATTCTAAAGCCTTTCGCCCTTGTTATCTAAATTAAAAACTAAAATTTCTGGATGTAAATGTTTTCAAAGATTTCAATATTTAAACGCATGGAAGGGAAAGAATAAACATAAGGAAAAATCTTTCACTTACATCAACCACCGGCTTATAACTTTCTTCCGGTGGAATTGGATGTCGTCGAAGCAAAGCACAATCCGGAAAATCCGCCGTTATGCGTTCTGCAACTGAGATGTTTGCAAGCAGCATAAATTCTTCAACCTGTGATGAAAATATAGTTAAAGGAAATAGGCCACAAAAATTAAAAACACACACTCTTAAATAGGCAACACTTATGCTATTAGCGTACGTACAATTCAATAAACTAAGAAGGAATGTAGCAATAAATCTGACCATGCTGTTTGTTGCTAGCATCTTTTTTTCCTGCACACTGATAGGGTCTTTCGTTTCGGAATCTATGCTAAATCTAATTTCAGAAGAGACCAAGGTTAAAGCACCGTTAGCATGGCGTTTTGCTTTTAGTTTTTTTGATAGTGCCAATAACGTTCGCAATCCCATAGTAACAGAATCTGACTGAAATAAAAATATTAAAATAAGGAACGATCAACTGCTCACTGATACCATCGAACATTCAAGCAAATTCTATGTGAACCACTCTTAAATTCGTCCAATAAAGTCATCTATAACTTCTGTATAATCAATAAAATCCAATGACAAAAGAAGCCGACGAGTCATAAGAATAAAGATGAGTTACTAAACCTCTCACTGAATCTGAATCTTCCTTTTTATTTTCCTTAAGTTTGAAAATCATTAATAACCACAAATTTGGCATACTGCTTAAATATGCTCACTACTAATAATAGTAGTTATGCACTGATACCTATTTATCACATCAAGTATTAGGAAATGAAATATGAAACAGATTAACCAGGGAAGGATCATCAATCTTATTCTGAGCTTCTTCATAAGTAAGTGTAGCACTGGAACGTATAAGAGACTTATGAAATTTAATATCAATAATATCAGCATCGGACGTCAATGTCCAAATCACTGAAAACGCTAGACGATCAACATTTTTGCGAAGTGAACACAAATCACTTGAAAGCAGCTCCGGCAACATGTCGATACGTCTAAAACATTTTTAAAAAATCAGAAATATGACAAAGATTTCGAAATATACTCATTCCTGTCAATGAAATTTCTTATAGTAATTTATCCATACTTCTAAATGTCTAACTGCAGCAACACAAAACAATATAAACACCAAAAGCTTAATCAGTAATAAAAAGGCATCGTTTAGTCTTTTTGGATGATATAATGACTTATGTAAGCTAATGACTAATAGAGCTCAATCTAGTAGTCATGCCAATACCAAAGATGCATTACCTAGAAATATGATTTGATGATAACAGCATTTTAAGTAATACTAGTGAGAAATACAGCGAGAGACTTACTTGTCACAAAGATAGACGGTGGTTCCTCGATGAGCTGCTTCTGCGTCCATTGCTGTATTCGGCCTAACAAAATGCGAAACATCCGCAATATGAACACCAACCGGAAATAATACTTATTCGATATTACGAAATTAAAATAAATCTGAAAAGTGAAAAATAAAAAAATAGTGATAAGTAATAACTTCGTAGCGATCTGATGCAATCTGAATGCAGTGAAAAGCATCATCAATATCAGTACAACCGGGAGGATCAACCGAACAGATTGTCAGTGAACGAAGATCTTTTCGGTGACTTTCATTAGGCGCATACCAAGGAATTTTAGGTAAACATGCATAAACTGCATCCGAAAATGGTCCATGTGGTACATCGTGCTCCAATAACAACACCTTCAAAATAAGTGGTACTATTCGCTTAAAAAGGAAAAATAAATGAACCAAAGGATGAAAAGTCAAAACGTAATATCAAAGCTGAGAAATGTAGATATTCATGTATAAAAGTGCTTTGAAGTGAAAAACTAAAAAACCAAATGTTGTCTTCAAAGATCGTACTTCATTCTCCGTTTCTCGATCACCTGCCACGCCAATACTTCTTACATAATGTCCAATTGGATAGCGTGAATCTCTAGGCCAGCTATCAATTGCAACAATGACTCGCTTGCCTCTTAAATATTCAGCCTGGCGCGTTTCAATTCGTATACGAGGTATAAGTCGTTCTGCTGCAGCAAAGAGTACGCATGTTGAATCTGTAAATGAATTTTAAAAACATAATATGACAGTATTCACGTTATATAAATGTTTATCCATTAACTCCACCAGTGATGATTCCACCTTTGCCATAATATTATTTTAGATCATTGTCCTAACCATTCAACAAATCAAAAAAGAAAATCCCTTCTTATCTACAATTGAAATTCCAATAATTAAGGTATTGGAATTACAAATGACGTTTTCATCTCAAAAATATTGCACGATACTCAGCAACTCAATGGTGTAGAGATCAAAAAAAAGGGAAGGTACGAGTGAATGTTAGTAATACATATTTTACTTGTAGGAAAGGTTTTAGAGGTATTGATAACATCATTCAAGAGAGAAAAAGAGAAACACCAGTTGGTTTTGGAGCTAATATCAATCATTTCAGAGAGCAAAGAAGAAAAAATTTTATACAAGATGTTCAATTTGAAAAGTATTTCTGCAATGGGAAGAGGTAACGAGTAATTTTGTGAAAATTACAGATGTTGCATTATGTCGTAAGAGAATTATGAACAAAAGTAATGACTGTAGAAATACTTTTCAAATCGAAATAAACCTTTCACAGCAGGTTGCAAAATCATCCCACAATATTGACGCCAATTTCGTTTTACAATTCCAACTACTCTAGCAGATGGAATTTTTTCCTCGATTCGCGGTCTTTTTGGCTCGATTTCTTCCTCATCTTCGTCGTCCTCTTTATTGACCGCATCTTTCATTTCAATTTCTTCCACATCTCGTAACTTCAAAAAAAAAGCTTCGTAATATCAAAATGCAAATATTAAACAAATCTGCATTAAGTAAATAAAGCTGAAAATCTCACAGATCAAGTTTTCAATGAAAGCTGAAATCTTTGCACTGATAAAAAAGAGATTTCTCAAAAATAAAACAGAAAAAAAATTAAACGAGATACCTAACTGCACTTACACACGTAACTAACTGTACTCGGGTAACTAACTGTACCTACTCGAATAATTTTTTGTGGACAAGTCCACTCGGATTCTGGCAACAGTTCCACAGCAACGATATCACCATTCACAGCACGATTCATATTGATGCGTCCTTGAATAAACCATGTATTCTTCTCATCAATACGAACATATGCTTCCATGTAATTTTCATGTGATACCTAAAACAAAATATTTTAGAATGCGTAATACACTTCGGTCTGCAAAATTTGCAGGTCAGCATGCTAAATTCTTGAAACTTTTGCAGATTCCTGGAATTTGTAGAAAAACAAAATAAATGTTTGGACATATCCTCAAAAACTTAACATAGTTTTTGATACCTAATTCAAAATCGCTTTATTAGACTATATAACAAGCTAAATCATGCGGAAAGATAAAAATCCTATAAGCATATGTAAGCAATCAACACAAACTTGAAATGTTGATTTTTTAAATCTTCCATTTCGAATCCCATTTTGTATTATATCATGAGCCAAATACTCTGAAAACAAAATACGTCCTCGACTCTCACTCTCTGCACTGTAGATGGCCAGTTTATCAAGTAAATCAGAATTATCTTTCATACCTGAAAATAAAAAAAGGATTTAAATTTCTTAATATATATTAGTGACGAATCCTTTAAGTATGATACACGCTAATTATAAAATAAGAAACATTTATAGTATAGCAATTGTATGTGATAAAAATTAATGAAAAGATGGTCACGAAAATTTCAACCTTCAATGTATTCCTGTAAAGTGAAAACATTTTCAAATTGTTTTTTTAACCGATCCTTGCTCACAGCAGTACCACATACGATAATCGGAATTATAGAAAATTGTTTCCAATGGTTTTTATAAAACTTGGCACACATTAGCAGCGATTTGGTTAACCTCAAAAATTAGTCTTTAATCAATTACGCAAAAATAATCGATGCAATAACAAGAAAACTAGTGTAGAAACAAGGAACATTACCAAATAAAACATTTTCTACAATGGAACATATTTTTTTATGCGAAAAATACCAAAAAATAATAAAACTATTTCAAAGTACTCACCTATCTTCTTCGCTTTCACCCTTGACGCGGTCAAGATGAGTTTCACAATGAAAATCATCCATGAATACGTAAATTTTCCTCTCTGGACTCTCGTAACACAGTGTATACATTGACTTATAAGAAAGTGGGCTTGATTTCTTCACATCTTCCCAAACAGTTTGTGTAATAATAATGTTCCTGAAAAGGAAAAGAGAGCATGTGATTGGAACGATACTGCACATCAGAAAAATAAACATTTCGACAACACCCCACTGCGAGCATCACTAACGTGAATTTCAAGTTATCGAACAAATGATAAAAGCGGATTATCGCCGAAGAATCAAGAATGATGGCGTGTTTGGTGGATACCACAGATGAAATCTGGACAGTCAAATCGGTGAGCGAATGAGCCCCAACTGGTTGACAATATCCACATGTTTCCAATCCACAACCAATATCGTTTCTTAGATAATGTTCATTTACTCGCTGTAAGAATAGAGGATTAATCTGGCTAATGCAGCATACAGTTACCTATTAAAACTTTCAATATCAAAAACAAAAACTGAGAAACTGCCAAAATTTTTGATATTTTCAGGAATGAGACGAAACCCCAGAAGGTTCCCGCTACGGTCCTCTGAAGATTAATTCTTACTTTCACGATTTTACCGCTTTTTGTCTTCCTGTAAAGCACATTCAGGACGCGCTTACTTATTCCACTTTGCTTCACATTAAGTTCAAGCATTTGGCTGCAAAATAGAAATTACAAAATCAACTATTATTCATTCTGAAATTGCGACCCAATAGAACATCTTTCTACTCATATTATTTTTTTGTCCAAATAGTATGTCCAATGAGATCACAATATATGTACAAATGATTGCTTCTGTTGATGCAAAATATGAATGTTAGTTACAATGAGTAATAATATTTCCACTTTCAAAGCAGAATATATAACATTACAACCATCTTCATGATCTCGATCGGATAACAATCATATGCGACTGTCCTGAAAATTTTATAAAAGCAAAAACTAAACCTAACTTCTACGGTTTTACTTTTCGTGACTGGCTGTCAAGGCTATAAAACGTTGTTATATATGTTTCAACGACTTTGCAACATATGTCACTGCGCTATGAAATGCAAAAATTTAGCATCTAAAACTTTATTACTCTACATAAGTGGTAGTCGACATCACTGGCGGATTGAATTTTCCATTTCTTCCATTCTTCTTTATTTTCTTGGTAACTATGCCTAATTTTCGAAGCGGAACATAGTAAAATAAACTAAAATATTAAAGTGCAAAAAGCACTTGCCGTTGCAACTGTAGGGTCATCGTCACTTGTTGGTGAAGAGCCAGCTCCTTAGAATATAAATGAAAGAAATTTATTTGAAAATTTTGAAAATCTGTTGAAAGAAAAGGAGTAAGTTGTGAATTAACTGGACAGTGTAAGGAGGACAAGCAGAATAACTGAATTTATACAACAAATAACTTAAACAGGCAGTATGTCCAATGAGATCACAATATATGTACAAATGATTGCTTCTGTTGATGCAAAATATGAATGTTAGTTACAATGAGTAATAATATTTCCACTTTCAAAGCAGAATATATAACATTACAACCATCTTCATGATCTCGATCGGATAACAATCATATGCGACTGTCCTGAAAATTTTATAAAAGCAAAAACTAAACCTAACTTCTACGGTTTTACTTTTCGTGACTGGCTGTCAAGGCTATAAAACGTTGTTATATATGTTTCAACGACTTTGCAACATATGTCACTGCGCTATGAAATGCAAAAATTTAGCATCTAAAACTTTATTACTCTACATAAGTGGTAGTCGACATCACTGGCGGATTGAATTTTCCATTTCTTCCATTCTTCTTTATTTTCTTGGTAACTATGCCTAATTTTCGAAGCGGAACATAGTAAAATAAACTAAAATATTAAAGTGCAAAAAGCACTTGCCGTTGCAACTGTAGGGTCATCGTCACTTGTTGGTGAAGAGCCAGCTCCTTAGAATATAAATGAAAGAAATTTATTTGAAAATTTTGAAAATCTGTTGAAAGAAAAGGAGTAAGTTGTGAATTAACTGGACAGTGTAAGGAGGACAAGCAGAATAACTGAATTTATACAACAAATAACTTAAACAGGCAGTATGTCCAATGAGATCACAATATATGTACAAATGATTGCTTCTGTTGATGCAAAATATGAATGTTAGTTACAATGAGTAATAATATTTCCACTTTCAAAGCAGAATATATAACATTACAACCATCTTCATGATCTCGATCGGATAACAATCATATGCGACTGTCCTGAAAATTTTATAAAAGCAAAAACTAAACCTAACTTCTACGGTTTTACTTTTCGTGACTGGCTGTCAAGGCTATAAAACGTTGTTATATATGTTTCAACGACTTTGCAACATATGTCACTGCGCTATGAAATGCAAAAATTTAGCATCTAAAACTTTATTACTCTACATAAGTGGTAGTCGACATCACTGGCGGATTGAATTTTCCATTTCTTCCATTCTTCTTTATTTTCTTGGTAACTATGCCTAATTTTCGAAGCGGAACATAGTAAAATAAACTAAAATATTAAAGTGCAAAAAGCACTTGCCGTTGCAACTGTAGGGTCATCGTCACTTGTTGGTGAAGAGCCAGCTCCTTGGATACCACTTTTAATCGGTAGATATAGTTTGAATTCAGCAGGAAGTTCATCTTCAGAGTACAATCGGTCCGCAAAGTAAATTCGTCGAATCCGACAATTCGCATGGATCTAAATCTATTGAGACCTTCAAAAATTATGAAAAAGTGAGCAAAAAAACAGAAGATGTTCTTATTCAATAAAAATGCTCAATACAGAATTAAACTAACTCAACATAGCGATTATAAATGATTAACTTCATGAACCTGTATGCGAAGGGTTTCGACATAAGCTGTGCCATATGCACGTTTTGTAAAATCAGCCAAATTAAATTGAATCTGGTTCCACCCTTCGTCCAGCCGCATAGGCATTGTACAAATGAATGGTTTGACTCGAGTGTTGGACTGGAAATTAGATGCCCGAAAACGTCTTTTTACGCCTTTATCATCGAGTATCTGCAAAATTATAGATTGGAAATCTTTCTGCGCTGGGAAGTTTACAGGAAGGAGAGTATTAACGGATACCAAGAGATATAAAAACGATTACATAACAATAAATAAAACTAATAGATGAATTTGGTTGTCATTTGAACCTTTCTTGTTATCAACTATTGAAAAGACAGCTCTATATGCCAAAAAAACAACGAGTAAAAAACTCCAAATATTTATCCAACCATCTTCAACAAACTTTTATCAATGAATAATGCTAGGGCATTGTGACTTTCTTTTCGTAAATAACAACATCAATTAAGATTTGCATCGAGAAAAGAAGGTGCATTATATCTAGATGGGAAATAAAATTTTGAAGAGCTAATACAGTAAGTAAATTCCAAACCTGTACTTCAAATGTGAAATATTTTTTCATATTTTTAATAATCATCACCAAATATGGCAACTTGATTCCCAGCGTCTTCTTAGGATCTAATGGACACGAAATATATGTAGTGCTGAAAACTTTGATGAAAATAAAACATTTTGAAAATATTAATCCGGAAATAATGGTCAATGTAAATTCAATGGAAACGTTCAGGAGTTTATAATTTATGACGTTTCGTTATCCACACAAAACGAAAGATGAAAATTCTGCAATTTCAATTTCGAATCGTACCATCTCATATATTCTGGCAAACATAAAATACTATTCTCTCAGTGAAGATAAAAATAAGCAGTTCGGAAACTAGACAAAAAACACCTAAAAATGTTAACCGCAAATATCCCACCTCACATTTGTGCCCAGTATTTCGATTATTAGTGACTGTATATCTTCATCGTTGATCCGTTTTATGTGCCCATTTCGAACCTAATTAAATGAAATATGTCAGAAACTGATGTTTTTGATTATTTCAATCTAATTTAAGCTAAATATTGAAAGTGCCATATATATTGAAATATAGAAAGTAAATATTGTCATGACTTGATCTCTGATATGCATTTCAATATGGCATTAATTCAGAAAAGTGTGAAAATTGAAAGCAACCTTTTTGTCCCATATTTGTAACGGTTTGCTTCCAATACTGTATAGTACAGAGAGTAATCCACTTTGGAATGTATTATGAAACATTTGTACCGAAAATATGATTGAACGGTTTATATTAAGTTTTAATTTTAATTTCAGCTAGGAAAAAGAGCAGCCAAAAAATTCTGCACAGCACATATATATATACACATACACACACCAAACACTTCAAATGGCTCCGCACGAAAGAATTTAGACGACAACAAAATTACTCAGCAAGTATCTTATCTAACACATCGTTTAACTTGACATGGAACTATTATGCCACACTATGAGACATTTAGGCTGTTTAGATGAAAAATATCGTGAAGAATGAGAGAGAAGGTGGGAGAGTCGCTTGAATAGGCTTTGATAGATGTGGAGCAGAGATTGAGAGTGTGAAAACTTTACAACGTTAGAAGAGGGAGAGAGAAATCATTTGAATGGTGAGGAAGTGCATAGCGGCAATTGAATGTATTAGGTTAGCAAATGAGTTATGTAAAGTAGAATACAATGAAAGATTGAGAGAAATATTATAGATTGCGATCTTTAGTTGTAGAGGAGATTGAGAGTGATCAAAGGATAAATGCGAAAGGAGAATTCCCCCTTAATATTCAGCGCCGGTAATAATGTTAATTATATCAATATCGGTTCTTGCTCATGACATTACCGGCGTAAATATTTAATAGTGATTTTCACTTTTCCCGAATTACAGACAGCTGGTCAGAATTAGAAGCGGTCATTGCCATGGACAATCTCGTTTATGAATTTGCAATAATATTCATATCCTGTAATTTATTGAGAACTGAGCATGATCAAACTAGGAATTCCTTTATCTCGGAATTGAATTGATTTTATTCCTTCTAGATCTATACAATGCTTATGTATGTATATGTTTATTTATGCGTTATTGCCACATTGTCAGAATTATTTATTGCTGCAAAGGATGAAAAGTGGTGAGGATGAGGTTGGGCCATCAACGTCGATATTCTTATTTCCGGATTTGATGACACGAGATGAGCTTGTCGCTATTTTAAAACATAAATTCAGAAGGATAGGTGTCAATATAAACAAAATAGGCAAGCTTACAGATGACGAATTATTGGAACAGTTCAAGAAATTCGCAATGCCAAAACCTCAACGAGAGGTCCCTCTTTTCCATGTAACTAACTCTTTTTATTTCTTTTTATGATCGTTTTTCATCCATCAAAAAAAGCGAGAAGTATTCGTTCATAGAAGGTAACTGGCAGGAAGCCGAGAACATTGCTGTTATATATTAGCTTTGAACTCCAAACGTTAAGCAATATCGTCAAAATATTTTATTTCCAATTCCTTTTGCCAAGTTCAACGCAGTCATTTTGAAAAACAAATCACTTGATAGCACGGTAAATTAACCAACAAGAGAGTCATCAAAGATATATTAATTTATAACAAGTTTGTTCTCGATACAATTTCTCTTTTCACAAAGTTTTTCCTTATCATTTACACTTCTTTTCTCATGTTTGGATTAAAGCTTTTTATTCAGAAATAATGGATTGATCTTACATTTTTACTATGCTAAAACTAATAATATTTTCAGGGATGTATTTCCTACAATTCCCTTAATCGCTTCAAAAATATTAAGGATTCAAATAATTCAGGGGAAGTTTCAGTGGCTAAATTAGAGGTTTAATTTTGTTTTGTTTTTTGGTAGTTTTCATTATTGGAGCGCTAAGGAATAAGTACAATGAATGCACTAATAATACATTGAAAGTCCAGTTAGGACTGTAGTCTTTACTTACTTTTGCATAATGAGTAGCAATTCTTTAAAATGAAATTACGTACTAAACTCACTGAACCTGACTTACACTTTTTCTTGTGTTTTCATTTCCAAAATTTACAACTTTAATAGCTAGTTGTTCTTTTATAGCTTTTAATTCAACTTCATCGTGCTTTTTGATTCGGAAAAAAAATTTTTCAAATTTTTTATATGCTTTGCTAATGTTTCAGCATTCGGGATCAATATGCAGGAAAATAAATCCAATTAACAAACGGCGAACTACTGTTGATGGAAAACGGCTTAGCACTAATAGCATAGAATGTCACTCTGCTGAGAAAAATGCTCGGAAACATTCTCCCATACGATTTCCATAATTTATAAAGAAGAAGAAGCTATGTCGATTACAAAGAAGAAAAACGAGAAATGCGGTTCGTCTTTCATTTTTCTTTTAGATTTATTTGCAGAGCTGTGAAATTGAAATGCTTTCATGTCATTTTATATTTGCTGTGGCGTTTTAAATTATTAGCTTTAAATTTTTATATGCTCTGTTTTGTATTCAATAAACAATTGATAGTTCCGTGATGTGACTATCATTTGAAGATGAGTGATAGTATTCATGATGCTAAGCCTCATTGTATTATTCTTTAAATTATGATGTAATTTCTGAAAAATGTTATTGTTATGACAACGATAAATAAGTCCAGAATTAGAAAAATTACGAATATTTTAAAATTTTTTTCAGCTGCATTATGTTTTCGAAATTTGTCTCTTTCAAATTTATACTATTCTGACATAAATCTGAAATTGTGCACTGGCTTTTCAATTCGCTGTGCGTAATTCTCGAACCTTTTATGGATCGTACTTTTGTTCGTCCTGTCAGTCGTTATCCGCAATTTCGTTTCTTCATCACTATTTCTGTTTTCGTTGAATCAGTCAAACAAAAATAACTGGTAATATTAAGTATCAAATAACATTACTGAGAATTAAATAGTAATATCCATTTAATAATCAACAATTTCAATCAATATTCTGTTATTTGTGGAATATCACTTGATCTAAACAGTTTTAAATTTATGTGCATTTTATGATCTCTTTGCTGTTATGGAATTTCTGGAGTATATTCTGTTAAATTACGTGTGATTTAAGTGATGAAATTTTTAACCGTTCCATAAAATAAGATCACCGGGAGTTTTAAATATCACTCTTATAACTTTGATTAAGTTAAGTAATTAAGGGAGGTATTTTACCCTTAATTACCAATCATGATATTTTATTTTACTGGATGCTTTTTGTATTTGCTGTGTACATTTATCTATGTTGTTGCCTTGCATCCATTGCATGTTTGAATTATTACACTTTCGGTAATATTTTTACGTATATTTGAGCAGATTAAGAAAGTTGCGATTACCTAAGCTTTGACATATAATTACGGTTTTTTGTAGCGATGAAATATAATTATGATTATTTTATACATACCAGTAACAGGAATTTTGAGCCAATCTGAATTGGCCCCATCGCAATTATTACCACGTCATATACTAAAATTTTTATCGAATCAAAAAAATTTGATCCGAAAGGTGTAATTTAAATTTAGTTTTTGGGGATCTTTTTTCGGAATTTATATTTCAGGACGATGATCAACTTAATTGTGGTAACTAAATCTTTGATCGGGGTCGTAAAGGAACTCCAATGGAGTATGTTTGTAAAATTGAAGAGACTAAATAAAATATAATCAGGCAATAATAGACAAATGACAAAAACAGCACATCCCGTAATGAGTACAGTGAATTGAAGAAATAAGCAAATTGATGAAATAACAGCTTGATGCACCTACGTTAAGTAATGCAAAAATTTCCTAGTCTTATCGCATGAGAATTACATGAATATAACTTTAAGATCTAACAACAGAAAAAAGCCTAGCTCTATGTTTAGTAAGGAAACGGAGATATCTATCACAAAGAGATTTCCAAGATTTGAAATATATTTTAATGGTAAAGAATGACTGTCAGTCTTCTGATCAGCGGATATTGTGCAACGAAATTGAGATACTAAAATAGGGGATAATTATCATTAATTATTAGCCGTGAGATTAATCACAAGAAACAATCGCCATCCATGAAATGTGTATTAGCAATCGTAATAGAATCATATTGCACAGCCTTCTGTTCTTTTTTCATCCACATCTTCTTAAGTGCTCGTCGATAGGGTCGAAGTAAGAATAAATTAATTAAAGCATTTGAAAGTGGATGAATGCCAATAATTGCTTCGCCAACAGTAAACCATATCATGTCTATATCGATTGAAAACATTAAAAATACATCTGAAATGTTATCTAATCTGAACCGAACCATAACATTTGTTACACACAATCATTCTTTGCTAATAAATAATCAAATCATAGATTATCACAATAATTATCAATTGTAATTAATCATCATTGCCTAATTTTCAATTGAAGAAATTTTCCATATCCTACAGAAAGGACGACGACGATCTTTCGATATATAATAATTTACTTGAAGTGACATTTATTACATTTAATTATATATGATCTAATAGATTTAGCTTCGAAAATAATTTATTCCTTAAAAAGAGATAAGTCAGAGGATTTAAGATATTTGCGCATTAGAATCAATCGTTTATTGTTAATTTAAAGTATATTTCCCAGCGTTCTTATATGATATATTCTCCATCCATATGATAGAGTTAAATGTACACTGACATACATATTATATGTATATATGTACACACATACACATACACACACACACACACACACAGATGAATATTTATTGTGATGAAAATAAGTTGCATACATGAAAACAATGACAGATAGCATTGAATAGTTTGTCATTTTAAGATATATTAAAATTTGGCCTTAAAGAAGAAAATATAAAAAGAACAAACTTGCAATGTAATATGGCGTAGCCAAGATAAGCGGCATAAATGCTTGCAAAATATATGTATAAACAATTGCTTTTTGTTGTTGCAGATGTCTTGGATTTAAACTTCTTCCACTTTGCTTCCTTGCTGCTTTGGTTTGTCTTCGAACGATAGATGAAAGCACCAACAGATTACATATGAATGAGAAAATGAAAAATGATGGCGACAATACGAAGAATACAAACTGAAATTATTATTACTATTATTATAAACTAATTAATTTTAATTTACCGATTTCAAATAAGCCAAAAGAGCTATTTAGTGCAGTTATTATTATACAGCATTTATAATGTGGTATTATGTAGCTGTAAAAATACAAATGTGGAAAATGTTTAAACACATTAGCTGAATGCATAAGCTTATAAATTTTATATGATTACTACGCATAAGCATAGGAAGTGTACAAAATAATTAGCAGCTTATGACACTTACGAATTTATTGATGGTTGAATAATTACTCAATTTACTAAGCAATAAGTTGCAAATTGCTATTGGCAAGTAGTAATAAACTAATTGACCAATATATAGTAAATAAACGCTTGGTAAATTATTTAAAGCAATCCGTAATCATGCAATCCTTCGATGGCAAAGTACCAGAAAGATGAATGTATCCAAAGAAGGCTCATTTATTTCAAACGTGACATCATTTACAAAATTATTTAGAGAGTTGTCGGAAACATCGAAAATAAGAAAAGTTTGAGAAGTGAGGTACTAATCAGTGGAACTTTAACTCTCAACTTAGTAATATTCTAATCATAAAAATACTTAACAAAAGATAATCGTTTTCATTGATTACTCGACTTTAGCAAACTTTTCGCAAAATTTAACCGAACCAAAGTATTTTCATTTATACAATTGGTTAATTTTAAATGATATCAAATGAAGAAATCATACAGTAAATTGCTATTTTAATCACCGTTTATTATCTTCATTTATAATATGAAAAGAAGTTGGAAGGAACTCCAACGTGTGGTAACTAATTATTTAAATCTCTAAAATTGAAAAATCTCAACTTTTCCATTAACAACAATAACTGCGATATCATTTGCTTAACAAATAAAACATCAAAAATTTTAATTTATCATTTTTCTTTTTCAAATTTTAATGCTTTTAATGTATATTCATATTACTCTTACTTAGATGGCAATTAATTTTTAAATGGATATGTGAAAAATTTTTACAAATAAAATTCTTTTCCTTTTCTTCATATAAATCCGCACTTTCTTCCTCCCTACAACCCCGAACCGAATGTACAGAAGTAGCAGAATGTCCGGTCAGATCGACAGATTCTCTTTCCTTGTTCTTTCAATTTCACTTCGAATATGAGAAAGTAAACAAGAAAAGAAACTTACAACATTAGTATAAGGTGACATTCGTATATACGCAAATATAAAATCATAGAGGAGCACGTCCTGAAGGCAAAGATCGTAGATGGCAATTAACATTGGAATCACAAAACATGTCAGAATTGCTAATGTTAACGTTTTGATGCTTAAATCACAGTTATGGCATACCAACAGCCACTGGTCAATGGCTAATACCGGAAATAGGAAATAGATGACGTAGGTGGTATTGTAAATAACCGTGCGCAATAAGCTACATAGAAACAGACTGAGCTTAATGTTACCGAATAGCACTATTAAATAAATTGAATTCAGCATCAAATATCCAAAAAGTCCATACAAATTGGCAATTGTCATGCCTAAGGTCGGATACTTGACACGTGACAAAATAAGGCCCTTCTTCAGGCCCATATATGCTAATAAGATATTTGGTGGTACAGCCAAGCAATACAGAGTGATATAAATGATTGAATTAGGCAAATAGGATTCCAGTGCAGGCACTTCATCATTCAGACCTGATGCATTCTCCACCTTCTTATAAAATGACATCCTGAAAATCCTGAAATTTGGAAGTTTCTGACTAATAGATATATTATCATATAAAAAGGTAAGTTCAGAAAGAGCTTTAATGAACTGACAGCAGCTTTATTTTAATTGTCCCAGCAATTAGCAAGGGAAGAAAACTAATGAAAAAGAATCAGGTAGTGTCACAAATTAAATTTAATTGAATTTTAAGTCTGTTACATATCTTTTCACTCGATCCTTCAAGGAGAACTGAAAAAATCAAAGAAATAAGATTAAAGTTTTGTATTAAAAATTATCTGACATAAGGAATCGATAATGCATGAAGCAATGAACTTTTGTTAAGTTGTTAGTATTGATATAATTTAATTAATTTAAATAATTGAAGCATTGTTGCAATTAGATTACTCATTCATTTAACTATAATAGTGGATTATTGTTTTAAAAGCCTCGAATAATTTCAATTATTCAAAGCTTTTATTTTTAAATCATTGCTTTTTGCTGCTAAAATAGCTATCAATAATTATTATAAAAATAAAAAAAAAATTTTTATATTAAATTTTATCGAATTTGCTCGATCTGTGCAAACTGACAGGAGAAATCATCGTAAACAAGTAGTAACTAGGAAATGCATATAACTTGAAATGGATCAAAACACACATTTCATTCGTTCAAATTTTGTTAAAATTTAATTTCTAATTTTTGCGTTGAGAAATATTTTCTTCGAGAATTATTATTTGGGACGAAATTAGATTTAATTGACAAGACATTTATTGGTTGGAAATTAATTCAAAACAATTCATCCTCAATTAATCAGAAATTAATTCATCACTTTTTTCCTTCGTTGTAAAACAAAAATATGAATGAAATATCATTTTAGGAGATCTCATAATTGAAAAAAGCTGCTAATCTAAAGTTCAAATTTTTCAGGAAAATAAGATGATGTCGTAGAGATAAAAAATAATAACGTTATAGATTTAAAAAGATTACTAGTTTTTGTAAAAAATGGAAAATTAAATTTCAATAAAATTTGAGCAAACGAAGTGAATTTATTTAATCGATTTCTTTAAATTGTAGATTGTTTTTTTTGTAAATTAGATTAGAGAGAAGTTTTAGAGAGATTCCTTATCTTTTATGCCTAATTTAACCTAATCTACTATTAAGATGAACGAACATAAAAAGAAGGATCAGAAAATTCGAAGTGAACTAAATTTGATCATTGATGATAACTTATAGCTCCTCCAACACTCGCGCATTCAATTTCCGTTTTAAAAATTGAAAATGATAATAAAATTATTTTTCTTATAATTTAAATCATTCGCTTGAATTTTAAATCATTATATGTGATAAAATGATAAGATCAGTACATTCTTAAGATTATAAAACAAAACCAAAAAATTGCATTGTTGCAAATATTGCAGCAAATATCAAAATAAATGAAATTTCATTAAAAGAATATATTTAAAAAAAGGAATTTCTAAATTCATTCCTTATGAATGAATGAATGAATGGACTAACAACGAAAACGATAAAATCTTTCAGTCATGCAATAATGCAATTTTGCTTCTACAATTAGCGGCATGAGGAAATGAATGAAAATAGCAAGTGCCAACTGGAAAGTAATAAAATGTTAAAGTTTCAGCTGATATTTCTCTTTCCTTCAATTGACCTTCTTCCTCTTTGATTGCATGCATAGGAAGGGAAAATGCGCCTCATCTCTTAGTTAATTAGATGCATAGTGTATTAATTAAAAGTGTCATTGAATTTAATCCAATGAAAGGATAGGCCTATTTTCTTGCAATTTTTAATTGTGTGGCGGAAATACTTCAATAAAACAGATCAAAAATGAACCATTGTTTCAAAATGTGTAATAATATTTCAATATCATCTTACACTTCCGTTTTATGCAGAACAGATTAAATTAAACCAGAATATGTAAACAGATCAATTAAACCCTAAAAAATTGAATTAAATCGCAATATATATATATATATATATGTAAACAAATATAGATTTGGTTTGTTAATGAGACAAAATTTTATTGCTAAGAAAATTTTCGAAAGCTATAAATAACGTTATAACACTGATGAAATTTAAATTAATCTAATCTTTAATCATAATCCATCCTACCTTTCCTTTTTTCAACACAGCACATTTCATTCCGACAACTTGCAACATACACAGATTTGATTTTAAGAGTTGAATCGAATCAAAATAAAATTAAGTCTCCATTTCATTTTACATCATCGAAAAAATCCATATCTTGTATATATGTTTATCACAACCGTCTGTTCATCTTTTCCGGAACTCTTTAAGGTTTCGATCAACTTTGATCACTTCGAAAAAATTTATGCTTCTACTTTTACTTCAAGCTACACTCAGAATATGTCTGAAATTTATACAATTATATTTCAGGAAGAATTGCTTCAGTTTTTTAATTTTGGATAGCAAGTAGTATTCAGAAATCATCCCCTGATTAATACTTTGTAGTTGCAGTTTTTCTGAATGATAAAACTACCTTCGTTATACTTACTTATACCCTAATCATTTAATACTACCAGCAAAAAAGCTTAGTTAAAGACATTTCTGTGGTATCATCATTGATCTATTTAATCATAATGAATTTTTTATGATTTTATTTTATAGCATAAATAGATTAAAATATAATTTTCCAGAAATAACAGAAAACAAAAACTAATGCAGTATAATGGTTGTTTTTGGAAGAGGAATGGAAGATAAGGTATGGAATAAGTTCGGTCTATGCTTCATGCCTTCTTTTGATTTTTAATTTATTTCCTCTCTTGACCAAATCAGGATGAAAGAAACAATTTCTCCTGGGAATATTATTTTTACCGAGAGAAACCGGAAAAATAAAATGTTAATTTGTTTACTTCCCAACACACATGACTGCACACACATAAACACAAGCAATAGAAAAGATAATTCTCCAATTTAGGAAGACAAAGTATTTTTCATCAGAAGCGGCGGATTAGGAATGAGCTGTGATATTTTACGTGTTTATATTTTATATTTTTTAACTGAAAGAATTTTTCATTAAAGTAATTCGTTAGTTAAAATTAAAATCTGTAATATCTTGTAATATGGCCAATATATTCAATATTTTTTCACTGTTAAATATTGCTTCCACAATTTTTAGATCTAATTTCGGAAAAGCTATAAAACATATGAAAACATGCTAAAAAGATAATACAAATATTATTTTTCGTGAAGTACAGCAAGTCTATCGAAAAAAGAATTCGATGAACGACCTTTTTATGCAAAACAAAAATGATACCTAAGAACAGTCCTAAACAGAAGTTGTATATAAGAAATTGTGCTTATTGAATTGATTTAATTTACATATCAAGAAAGGATTAACTTTTGGAAAATTGAGCAGAAAAAGAAGGAATATGTGGGATGAAATGACAAGATGGATAAATTAGATTAGAAAATGCTAAATGATACCTAAAAATTTCTTGTGAATCAAATCGTTTAAGAGAAGAAATTGTGACAAATCTAATCCACCTCAAAGGTTTAACATCAGTAAGAAGAAAAAGATAAGTTATGAATGAAGAATTCACGAACTCTTATCACCAGGGAATTGCCGGCAATTTCTCAACGACAAAACATAATAAACAGCGGAACAATTAAACGCATAAAAGCGTGTCTTTGCTTTGCAGCCTATTCATTCATCCTCTCCAAATTACCCCCGAGGGCAGGAAGAGCGGTACAATCAAATCGCTGTAAGGCACGGGGAAAAAAAAATTGTATGAGTAATGTTTTATGTACCTCACACCGAACCATCTTCTGATCAGTTAGCTGGAAAGTTGAGAAGTAGAAAAATGAGAGGAAACGGAAATTCATAATTGATAGTGTAAGCAATGAGTGATGTTACTAATGATTAATAGTTGATTTGACGCATGTCTTTTGATATAAATACAGATAGGGTAAAATATAATCGATTAGAATCTAAAATTATTCTAAACCAAGATTTGATCCAAAATATCGAATATAATTTAATTTGTTGTTTATTAGAGAAAATCTCACAGTACTTGTGGTGAAGTCTGGAAAATCTAAGTTCAGTTGTGATGTCTATTTTCAGCGATTTCTATCTTCATACAAACATCCAAATGGAGAAAATTTTTTCAATTGCTGCATCATTTCACACTTTGGAAACTATAATGCTAAGTTGATAATTCAAATGAGAGACACTTGAAATGTTTACATTCTTTGAGTTCTACACTGAAACAAAATCAGTGAATTCATTTTCTTCAATTAATTTAAGGGTAATTTATAAATTTATAAAATGATTTTATTACATCAAGCGTTTATTGTCATACCGATCCTAATTCTTTTTAAATATTTCTAGTCCATTAGATACATTTTGTTTATTTATTTCAAAATTTGTCTAATAAAGGTAAGAGGTGCAAAAAACAATGTCCTTAATGAGATTAGCATAATATTGTTTGTGAAGAATGGTAAACTCTCAAAATATATCAAAAAGAAAAAAAGGAATTAATTCTATTCAAAGCTTATAAGTTTGAATGCAATAGCAATTATTCGGCGAAAATTAATTACAAATTTGAAAGAAAAATGCTAAAATCTTATTCCAAAAAATTTTAGTCTCGAAAAATTCCATTTTAAATTTTACATTTTTAATCAATCTGTAAGCATAAAAGATTTCCTAATAATATTTCAGTTTTAAATTATTTTTAGTTCACACCACAAATAGTTCTTTCTATCTTTTTCATGTCAAATTCATAGACCACTCAATAAAAATAAGAAAAAGAAGATAAATTAGAAATAATGAATATTTGCCTTTTTACTTCGTTAACACTATCACCGTCATCATAATCGCTACTATCAATTTATTTTTTCGATTGACAAAAGCGCCTAGACAAATTAATCATTACTGAATTTTTAAAACAAAAGAATTCAACTTGTATTGAACACTAACCAGTGCTTCTAAAAAATGAAAAAAAGTTTTAGACGAGATTTTGAAAAAAATCTGTTCTAGTGATCATGTG